TCTGCTCCAGCTTCGTCCAGTTCTGTTCCATCTAAGTCGGTTGGGGCTTCGAGTTTCCTCCCACCTCTGTCTGCTCCATCTTCTGGTGCTGAGTCTTCTGCCCCAGCGTCTTCCGCTCCAGCTTCTTCTGGTGCTGAATCGTCTGCTCCAGCGTCGTCTGCTCCAGCTTCTTCTGGTGCTGAGTCATCTGCTCCAGCGTCGTCTGCTCCAGCTTCTTCTGGTGCTGAATCTTCCGCTCCAGGTTCTTCTGCCCCAGGTTCTTCCGCTCCAGCGTCGTCTGCTCCAGTGTCTTCTGCTCCATCTTCTGGTGCCGAATCTTCTGCTCCAGCGTCGTCTGCTCCATCTTCTGGTGCTGAATCTTCTGCTCCAGGTTCTTCTGCTCCAGCGTCGTCTGCTCCAGTGTCTTCTGGTGCTGAGTCTTCTGCCCCAGCGTCTTCTGCTCCATCTTCTGGTGCTGAGTCTTCCGCTCCAGCGTCTTCTACCCCAGCTTCTTCTAGTGCTGCGTCTTCTGTGTCGCAACCAAGTGAATCTGCCTCTTGTCCTCCACCTGTAACGGTTTATGTTACAATTACTGAGGCTCTTTGCCCAACGTCTTCAGTGGAAGTTGTCTTTACTTCCACGGACTCGGGTGACATTTTTGGCGATTCTTTCCGCAAGAGAGCTTTGATGCACAAAGTGGGGTCTTCCAATGATGACCAAAAGGCTGTTGAGCTTCCATCGGTTAAGAGGGAATCTTCCGCTGCGCAGGGTACTGTTCCACGCTCTTTCGGAGTCTTGGTCTTTGGCCTCGTTTCCTTTTTCTTGTTTATGTTATAAACTGGCACTAATTTTCGGCTACTCATCTGGCCCGTTTGTTTCGCCCTTTTGGGATATCTTTTGATGTCTCGTATATTGCAATATCTCTTGATACATTGATTGCTCTTTGACTGTTTTCATTTCTACATCGCCCAGACTTCTACGTCTTTTCTTTCTTTGAGCATTACTGTATGGTTCATTACTCCAAAAGTTTCCCATGGTGCTGCTCCTACCTTCTGGTTTCTTGTTTTGGTCTATTCCGGTGACCCACGAGCCTGGCTGGTATTTTCCGCTTGATATCTTGCATATTTACTGCGCTCTCCACTTTGACTTCTACTCTTTTTCATGTCATACTTCGTCTTTTCCTACTGTTCTAGTTGGTCCTTCATCATAACTCTTATTATTCCCGTTTCTTGTGATATTTTATATCTCCGAGCATCTTTTTGACTCTCATTATTAGCTCTTTGCTTCTCTTTCGTGCTCCCTAGAGCTTTTGATACCATAAATTTTGAATTTTTATAATCAGATCTTGATTCGTTTTATTTCAGAGTAGTGAGGCAAGGTATTTCTATATTTAGGTTGGGTCTACTCATTTAGAATAGCGATGGAGGCCCGAGTGAATTTGTGAGGTTTCGATGGAAACATTTCAATCTCGCTAATGAAAAGAGTAATGTGCAATTGACTTCTTCCGTCCTGCAAGCTCATGGCTGGAGTTTAGCGATATCAGTTGCTTGGCGACATCAGCGTGTGAATATATCTTGAAACTAGTGTTTTAATGTCTAGACTGCGGAACTTAGACTGGATCGGGGGTGACTGAGGGACGGTTCTTCAATGAGAGCACTAAAGTTCCTCGCAGTATGCATGCACGTACGCCTCGAGCTTGACAAAGCCATGTTGAGGAGTTAGATTAAGTAAAATTCTTTTCTAGCGATGACCGAATGGAGACACGTTCAACTGCTTTTATCCTGCTCTTGGTCTCTAATATGTTTGTTTGAAGATGTAGATTTGAACTTTCAAAGCCAATATTAGCGATTCCTATGCCGACGGTACCTGCAGGCGATAGAGGGGTTGAGGCATACATGCGATAATTTCTAATTATAACCCGGCGAGTATACGTATTATCGGGTTTTTATAATTAATGATAGCGTATTAGAGAATAACTGAGAGCTACATGTTTCCACGGACTAGCAGATACCAAGAGTAATTATCAGTTATTACAGAAGCGTTAGAGCTTTTGATGCAGCCCGATTGCCAAGCACGTGTAGTTTGGGCTATATCAGGAGCCCAAACGCTCCTTCCAGAGACTTTAAACTAAAAATATGCCAATACCCTGTAATATTCATCCTCAATATACTGCTTAAGGAGTTAGGAGGCGACTGCAAGTAGGCTGATATGCAACCCTGCAATTTGGTTAACCAGCAACCAGTCTTGTACTGTCCGGCCCAGACCTCATTTTATCTTTTAGGTAACTCCGCCACCAAATATGAAACTGGCAGGCGATTGGCTTCGTATCCACGTTAGTCCCTTCTATAGGTTATTGACCATCAAGACATATCACAGAGCTTTCTTTGGGCTTCGTCCACACAGTGGTGATCTATTATTAGCAAGTGGGGTACACCGCTCGTCTAACTAGGGTCCTTGCATACTTCTCTCGATCTTTCCAGGAGTTGGCGGCATTACCCAGTTAGTATAAGTTTAAATATTAACAGCTCTAGTAGAACATATAATAAAGCTCTTCTGGCTTTGCTTTTTCTCCATGTCCCTGCCCCATATAGCGGAAGTGGCTTCAGAGGAAGAGAGCGTACACACAAAGTGAGACGTACACCGAGGGCATAGAATTGTCATATGGTTAGCGAACCTACCGGACCTGGCAATCACTGCCCACGGTCAAAGCACCCTATACAACACGTGCCCCAACATGGTTTGTGTCATCGAGGAGGCGGAAAATATTCCGTTAATTAGGCCTGCGCCACCAGACTGTTTTAACCGATAGGCGTGGGACCACAGAACTATAATAGTCATAGTTTCAAAGACTTTAGTATCAAGATCATACTAGTACAGAGATAGATCACATAGTAGAGAACAGGGTTGCCAAAGAAAGGCCGTGATTTGTGGGGTACTTTATGGAGAGTACTATTGACAAACAATCTTTTGTCAGGGTTCCCAAGGGGAAGATACGCGGAGACTCCCAATCGATGGTTAACATGCCTGAGCGAGCGGTGGAACGATATAATTCGAACCAGCTTAAGGCTGCATGCCAAGGGGGAATATGCGTTGTCTACGCCTGCCCAGATGGTTGAAAGTTTGGGACGATAAGTCTCTTGTCTACACGGTGCATAAGTTGGAACTAATATACCTAAAATATGTCCCAACCCGTTACATGTCAAATACCTGAATTTTTACCGGCCATGATCTCTGATAGTTTCTGAAACATCTGCCTATAAATACAGCTTTTAATGCAGTCAATATAATTACATGCTATTGATTATCTTTCAACCTATCCGCTAGTACCGTATGCAAAACTATGAGGACATATTTGTATCGTTGTACCTAATACTAACCGATCTGCCTTAGTTTATATAATGCTCACCAATCTTCTCTTAGCTGTTCTCGTTGCCGGAAACGTTGTTGCCTCTCCTATCTGGTTCCACCAAGAAAAAAAGTGTTTCACTTACAAACAATGTACTCCAGATTTATCCACCGCTTATTACACCTCTACGTCGAAGGAGTGGTACAACAACAACAGAGATTGTAGAACCCACTACACCACAAGACCAACCTGTTCCCCTATTTCAAGATGTACCACCAAGACCACTGCCACTTCTTGTACCACGATGGAGCCAAACTGCTGTTTCTGCATGAAGCCTTGTACTTATACTACCACCAAGGTTGTATACCACAACTACTGGCATTGGGGGAAGTGTGACACTTACATGCTCACCGGTACCAGCTACACTGTGGGTAAGTGTTGTACCACCGACGTCCCACCACCTACCGGGACCTGTACTACCGTTACCAGTTTGGTCACTTACAGCACCAGCTCTAAGGAGTATTACAATAACGGCAAAAATTGCCATACCTACTGGAAGCCATGCGTTTCCACAACCACATACACTACTTGCCACTCCCAAACCATTACCCAACCACCAATTTCTGTTACTCCAGGTCCATCTTCCGAAACCGAGTTGTCGTTTAGCATTCTGACAGACACGAATGACGTTTTTGAGAAGCGTTAAGTGCAGAGTTTAATATGTAGTTATGGCCTGGCTTAGTTATATATAGGAGGATTCCCTATACATACAGTTGCGGAATTGATATAGCTTAATTTTAAACGCTTTTAACCAAAGATATGTATAGATTTACGGTGCTGAAGAACCAGATCTTTAGTACAGGCACTGAGTTTGGTACGAAAAATGGGCCGATGGCGGTTCTCATATACATTCGTGTATGAGATAGGGGTAAAAATTGTTCTTTGTGGTTCCGCGCTATAAACTGACTTGTGGTGAATATATTAAATCGATACATCGTAGATAACCTCTGTACGAGGTTTTTATATAAAATACAGAAGTAGGTGGCCACTATTAAATATAAAAAATGAGTTCTCTCCACCCATTCCAAAATACCTTAGTGGACTGGCTTTCGGGAATGCTGCCTCAAAAATTCTCAGAAGGCGGAACAATGTTTACACCCCTCTTTCGTTTCTAATCATTTTCTTCTTACTACTCTCATTTCAAGCCCAAGAGGTTCCTAAGAGCCTCCGTTGGTCAGAAGTGACGGGTAGAACTGTTGTAAACCCGACGCGTTATCTTTGATCGGAGAGACGTCTCTAAGGTCAACATAAACCTCTACAATGAACATAGACACAATTCGCCCAGCCCCATAAACAGTGCCAATACTAGGGTTCTACCCACACTGACGACTAAACATACCCCTAACATAGATATTGTACCTGATAGAAGTCACGTAAGAGTATATAGTATCGTTAAGACAGATAACCACAGCTTTAATGGCAGGGGGGCGATTGAATACATGGTACTATCAAGTTCCTCTTACCAATCTTGGCTGGGCTTTCGCCACAAAATCTACTGATCACCCGCCTCCGAGCCCAAGTCCAGTTGTTACTGACCCACAGCTGGCAACATAAGAGCCAAAATAAATCACTTACATTTAGAAATGGCGGAGTATGTGACCAATAAAACATAAACCCCGTTGATTTCGTAAAATACTCCTCCCTCATTTTAAACGTCTCGGGTTTATTATCCATTGTGCAGGATTCTGACTGCACCTGCAATATCAAAACTCCAACCTCGCCTCGTTCCTCTTTCCCGCCTACGTCTACTCATTCACTTATTCCATGAGACGGTGCTTTTCGCTTGAGCGGTATTGTTGCCTCTTTGCCTCTGCCTTTCCAAAGGTGCTCTGTTCCGCAATCTACGTCTGGTCTTACTTTGCCTTGCTCGGTATAAGCGAGGCGGCGCTGGCGGTGCCGAAATGGCTGCTCCGGATTGCCTCCACGCTACTTTTAGCGCTCGGGCTCGGTACATACTACCTTGTCGTGATCCACGGCCCGGGATCGCCGCTTGATTTTCCCGAAATGCGCATGGCCTCCGTTGACGGCGACATACCGGGCCCGCCTGCTGGACTTGTGGCGAATTCTCACACCGTGAAGCTCTCTGGGGGCTTCCGCTACTGCACAAAGTGTTCGGTTTGGAAACCAGACCGCACACACCACTGCTCAGCCTGTCGTCGCTGCATCTTGCGGATGGACCACCACTGTCCATGGTTCGCCGTGTGTATTGGCCACAACAACTACCGCTACTTTGTGCAGTTTTTGGGCTACACCGTAGTTTACGCGTTTGTCGCGTTCAGTGCTTCGGCTAAGTTCGTCTATGACTTTATTTTCACCGAAACGGCAGACGGCGGCCGTGGTTACGAGTCGGAGTTTATCAACTTGAACTGGGTGTTTTTATTCGTTGTCTCCATGGCCATGGCCGTGGCACTTAGTGTCTTTACGGGCCTCACGATCTATCAGGTATTGTGCAATACCACCACTATCGAGTCGTATGAATTTAACAATGTCCGCGCGCGTGACAGATCTATCAATCCCGGGAAGTTGAACATATTTGACCTCGGCTGGAGGGCTAACTGGCGCACCACCATGGGCGAGGGCTGGATGCAGTGGATGTTTCCGCTTCTGAACCCGGAAACTTTCGTTTTGGATGACGATTACGACCTTGGCTACTTGCACAGCGGGCTTGTGTTTCGTGTCAACCGCCTGACAATGGTGGAGTTGGAGCGCAACGTCGCGTTGCAGCGCGAGTTGGACATCCGGTTGCGTGCCTGGGGCGACCAACGCAAGGCCCAGGAGGCCCAGGCTCTCGAAAGCGAGTACGGTAGGGCGTGAAACAGCCATAGCTTGGGAGGTGATGTTTTAGCCACCAAGAAAGCGAATTCTCATGTCAAAGTGTACGGATAGAGTGGACTGCCGCCCGAAAAAGGGAGAATAACCCTTGTTCTGCAGCGCTAGAGGGCTTTATAAAATTCATCCGCGGCTTTTCTGACTTTATAGTTCCACGACCCTCTATGTTAAAACGCGCAAAGCGATACAGTGCTGCATATAGACAGTGCTAAAAACAACAACATTGGAATGCTCCTCCGACCAGCATTATAAATCAATTTTGATACGATGGGAAGAGCTGGCTCATCGCACACGTTCAGGCATGAATGCAATTATAATTAGCCCCTCCTTACCCAACTCGTTGTTCGACACAAGCGTTATCCAAAGCCCAGAAACATCAGCCATGAGGATCTTCAGGCTAAAGGGAGACCTTTATCTGGGGTGTAACACCCGCAGACAGTGGCAATCAGGAGGTTTAGTGATTTTGCTTTTATTGCTGGCAAAGAGGATGTTGATGGGCTGTTACTAAAGGGGTTGCACACCACAATGCAGGTTCTACATCTAATTACGATAGTATCACGTAAGACAAAGCTCTATTATATAAAACCGGTGACTGGCCGCTAAATCAATAGAGCCCAAGGTGGCTCGAAACCAACTAAAACCTGTATAATTCAATTGTATTGGGAACAGAAGAGCCCAGGCAGAAATCGTATCCACGGAATAGGTCACTTACTTGGATTCTGAATCGACAGAGAGGCCAGCCTCTGAAACCGAGGCCTCCTGAGGAATGGCTGCTTCAACTTCCTCTGCCGTCATATCCACGTCATTAGATTCAGTCGCGGCTTCGGTCACGCCTTCGGCTTTTATATCCCCATCGGCCAGGGCACCCGCAGTTTCCTGTGATTCACCTGCACCCTCGGCTAACGCACCATTCGTGCTTTTAGATTCACCTTTATCGACTAGAGACTTTCGTTTACTCCCAAAGACACCCTCAACGTCTATCCTGCCGTTCAAGCTGGTATTTTTGGATCCGATACCCTGGGCCATGTGGTCATCTTCGTAGAACTCGCCCTTTGTTTCCACCAACGAGTCACGCGCAAACTCTGACCCACCCTGGGTATCCATGGCCTCGTTGGTATCCTCGCCCTCGTCATCTGACAAGTCACACATGTCTCGTGGAACGTCTTGCATCTGCACCAGGGGCGCGAATTTGGTGTGTTCCAAATTTGCAAAGATCTGCGTCAAGATCTTATCCAAATACTCCGGAGAGTTGGCATTGTGCATGTTGGACAGTCTGACATCCAACTGGTAGTCCGGCCCATAGTACTCGTAGTAGTCGTTGTACGGCAAGTTTTTGTCCAACAACACGTTGTTTAACAACCCGGTTTCATAGGTCCAGGTTCTTGAGACATTTCTCATGGTGTAGCCACCCCCACCAACCACCATCGTGGGCAAATTGAAGGATTTTACAAAGTTGATACAGTTGGCATGGCCCATAATCGACAAGTTGAAGCACCCTAAACGGTCTCCTGACAAAGAGTCACCACCGCACTGTAACACCACCGCAGACGGCTGGTACCATTCCATGATCTTGCTGATTACTGGCTCGAACATGGATTTGTATGTGGAGTCATCAATCCCGTCTCTCAACGGAATATTCACGGCGTAGTTCTTACCACGACCCACTCCGATATCTCTCAATTCACCGGTTCCGGGGAAGAACTCACCGTACTTGTGGAAGGAGCACGTCATGACTCTGTCGGTGGTGTAAAAGGCCTCCTCGACACCGTCACCATGATGGACATCGATGTCAATATACAACACTCTGGGGTGATACCGCAACAACTCAATGATCCCCAAGACAATGTCGTTCAAGTAGCAGAACCCAGAGGCCTCTGACTTTTTGGCGTGGTGCAAGCCGCCGGCGTAGTTGATTGCTATGTCGCACTTGCCCCGGTTCAAACGCGCGGCACCCTCCATGGACCCACCGCCCGAGATCCCACAGTACTCAAATAACCCGTCAAACACCGGACAATCGTCCCCGACGTTGAACTTGACGGATTCTTTGGAAAACATGTCCAAGTTGTCTGGGGTTACTCGACTCAAGAAGTCAATGTATTCGTCGGTGTGAAACTGGCACATCTCCTGTTTGGTGGCTGGCTTGGCCCTGTATATTTCCATCTTCTTGTAGAGCCCGTAGTTCATAATCAATGAGTGGGCCATTCTGATACGGTGGGGCTTCATTGGGTGACCAGCACCGTAAGCGTAGTTACCCACATCTGAGTCGTAGAAGTACGCCACGCCTGGATTGTTAGTAGTCCTTTCGAGGGGAAGACGGCGGTACAGCCTGATCGTAATTTCAAGAAATACGTACGCTTCTTTTCGTTTTCATTCACGGTTAAGGCGTCAAAGGGTAATTGTTCGTAGACCATATCAGACAGCACAAAAGAAAAGGATGTAGTATACGGGATGGCCTAGGCTTACTGGATATAGTTTGAGGTTCGCCCTTTCTAGCTGTGTGGCGTGGGCGTCTATCGGTTGCCCTGTCACTCGCCCCAGACAGTGTGCTTGCAATCACGGTTTGTCCGGTGCTTGCAGGCTGGGAGTAGGAAAAATTTGGAACGCGTAGTACTGGAGACTATATACAGGATGTGTTACCCGGGCGGCTGGTTACCAATACGGACCGATAGGGAACACTCAATATTTACACATGTACGTGTAATTGTGGGTCTGAGGGAGAGATGGAGTGACCACCGGACCCACAAGAAGGGGGTGAAGGGGCTGCGTCTTAAAGTTGGCTTTTGGTCGTCTGGAGTGAGACCGTAAGAGCTTCCGAGCAATGGCTTCGGCCCTTGCTTTGATATGGCGGTCTCGGGTGGCTGCAAGGACATTTTATGGCGATTTTCAGCTAACGTTCTGTCAGTGCAACGGGTGTTCGGCGACCTGCAGGAAAACAGTTGTGGGGCTGCAGAAGATAGCGAAACCATCTGCCGTTTACATCGGCATAACCGCATTATTTGATTTAGGTAATAGTTTAATTATCCTAGGCATAAGGATAGCATGCTAGCAACAGTCTAAGGTTCTGTACCATGATATCAGTGTTAGCACCTTCACTATCGTGATTCTCTTAAGAGGGCCTTCGGCCTATCTTCTATCAAACCCATCCTTCCCAAGTCATTAGATGTATGTTGTACCAGACTCGTCCATGACGGAGAATAATCACAATGAATGGGTCACTCGCCTATGCCCCAAAGGATATTTAAGCACCAGCAATGGTGTGATCAACGTCTGCCAAGCCCCAGGAGGAACGGAGTCCAGAAAGCTGCACACAACTGTGAAGGTGCTGGCTAAACAGGCATGTACCCCGCGCCAGGAGCCCCGCCTCCACCATATGTTCGAGACGCACACCTCCCAAAATGGCTGCACACGGTCATTTCACAAAGCTGGAGCTGGAAGCCTAAAGTTTGTGCTCTCACAAAAACAAAGTTACTATTTCAAATTACTCACCTCTCTTGGGCCTTTTTTTCCGTACCTCCGAAAATTCTTAAAAATTAAACCTCAAGCCCCTACAGCTATCCGGTCACTTCTGAATGCACGTGATGTGTTTAGCCCCTGCCTAATCGTGCATGGCAAATACTCGACGTCCCTCCGGAGTGGAGCCATTGTCAAAGTCTGGGGAGTTGAAGGCTCTTCTCTTTCCAAAACCACTGCTCCACGTTGAACTAAGAGTTATTGAAGTTAAGGGAGAAAATGATTCCGAAAGCGGGGTGTTATGCTGCGGTTATAGCCTCGTATGTAATCTTTGTACACAACAGATGCGGCAGTCTTGGCAAAGACAGCTTACTGCCATATATCGCACATTGTGTCCTCTGTTCGTATTCGTGTAAATTTTTTGGTCTCTTTTGGGAGCCATCGCCTGGAAAGTGATTATCTTGCACATTGTGCATATCGTCTTTCTCACTTTGAAAAAGGCCTCGAGGCACCCCTGTGACTCCGAGGCCTATCTTTACGGTAAGGTTCCAGTACTATGTTACTAATCCCGGGGAATAATCCGATTCGCAAAGGCTGAGCTTTTGTGGATGGTGCCCAATAAGAATCCGGTTTGGAATGCGCAATCGTTACAAACCCATAACTCTTTAAACGCCTAAACCGCTAATGACATAGACTATACGAATAACACCGGTGACCGCTGGTGAAATATTAAAAGGGGCTCTCAGAGGCGACTCAACAACGGCCATACAACCGCTTTACATACGCCGTGGCCAAATCTCCTGCACATACACGACTAAGATTTGTTGAGCAAACGATCGCAAAAAGCTGAGATCCTCTCGGGATACATCCTCCGGCAGGAGAAACCGGAGCAGTGATTTCCTGTACACAGTCATAATAGTGCCGACAACGTAGTATCTAACGTGGTGCTAAAGTCTTGCCATTCCGAAGCATACGAGAGACGTATTCTATTTTAGCAGGAGAGTCGTAAAATATGAGGCAGGCAGGCAGATATTAAAAATTCAAGTTTTATTCTCCCATCCAATATTCGTGTAGGCGAGACTGAATTTTCTTGGCGGATAGACAGGTGTGTTGCCCCCCGTCGTAAAAGTAGGAGCGGTGGTCATTACCCCTCCTCTGAAAATGGTGGGGAATCGTGTCACACCTCGCGGCTCGGAGTAACTGCAGCTGCATGGTATGGGCGGCTACTGGGAAAATGGGTGCGTTTTGCTTCCGGGCTGAAGCAATCGCGTCAAAACATATTTAAGTAGCCGTCATCCCTGATAGGCTAATTTTCCTCTTGCACTCTATTTTCTTTCCGAACCAAGAACTCACAAGTTGCTTACAGATCAAAGTCTACTCTAATAGCAATGCCGGAAAACGAACATTTGACCCAGGAGACTGCACAGGCCGTGCCATCGGGCTTCCTCGAGAGACACACCTCCAAGCCATACTTGACTTCCCAGGCCGACTACGAAACGTTGTACAAGCAGTCCATCGAAGACCCAAGCACATTTTTCGGTGAACAGGCCCGCGACTTGTTGGACTGGGACACCCCTTTCACCCACGCCAGATTTCCAGAGTCTCCAGCCAACGATTTTATCAACGGGGAAATCCCAAGTTGGTTTGTCGGCGGGGAATTGAACGCCTGTTACAACGCTGTCGACAGACATGCCTTTAGGAACCCAGACAAGGTTGCCATTGTCTATGAGGCCGATGAACCAAACGAGGGCAGAACCATCACCTACGGTGAGTTGTTGAAGGACGTTTGCCGAGTTGCCCAGGTTCTTGTGTCTTTGGGAGTCCAGAAGGGCGATTCCGTCGCTGTTTACTTGCCAATGATTCCCGAAGCCTTGATCACCTTGTTGGCCATCACCAGAATCGGTGCTCTTCACTCTGTGGTTTTCGCTGGTTTCTCCTCTACCTCATTGAGAGACAGAATCAACGATGCTCAATCCAAGTTGGTTGTTACCGCTGACGAGTCCAAGAGAGGTGGTAAGATCATCGAAACCAAGAAGATTGTTGACGAAGCCTTGAAGTCCACCCCGCAGGTCACCAACGTGTTGGTGTTCCGCAGAACCGGTAACTCCCACGTTCCGTTCACCAAGGGCCGTGACGTTTGGTGGCACGAGGAGGTTGTCAAGTACAACCCATACTCCCCACCGGTCAAAGTCAACTCTGCTGACCCAATTTTCTTGTTGTACACTTCCGGTTCCACCGGTAAGCCAAAGGGTATCCAGCACTCCACTGCTGGATACTTGTTGGGGGCTGCTCTCACCACTAAGTACGTCTTTGACCTCCACCCAGAGAAGGACGTTTTCTTCACCGCAGGTGATATTGGCTGGATTACTGGCCACACTTACGTTGTCTACGGGCCGTTGTTGCTTGGTGCTACTACTGTCATCTTTGAAGGAACCCCTGCCCATCCAAACTACAGCAGATACTGGGAAATTGTTGACCATTACAAGGTTACCCACTTCTATGTTGCGCCGACGGCTTTGCGGTTGTTGAAGCGTGCTGGTTCCAAGTACATCGAGCCGTACAAGTTGGACTCCCTCAGAGTCTTGGGCTCCGTCGGTGAGCCAATTGCTGCTGAGGTGTGGCACTGGTACAACGACAACATTGGCCGTGGTCAGTGCCACATTGTCGACACCTACTGGGCCACCGAAGCCGGCTCCCACTTAATCACCCCTCTTGCCGGTGTTTCCCCAACCAAGGCCGGTGCCGCTTCGTTCCCATTCTTTGGTATCGACACGTTGATCGTCGATCCTGTCTCTGGTGAGGAAATCAAGGAATCTCCAGCCGAAGGTGTCTTGTGTATCAGGTCTGCCTGGCCATCTATCACCAACGGTATCTACAAAGACTACGCCAGATTCATCGACACCTACTTGAAGCCGTACCCTAACTTGTACTTTACCGGTGACGGTGCTGCTCGTGATGTCGATGGCTACTACTGGATCTTAGGGCGCGTTGATGATGTTGTCAACGTTTCTGGTCACAGGTTGTCCACTGCGGAAATCGAAGCAGCCTTGATCGAGCACAAATTGGTTGCCGAAAGCGCGGTTGTTGGTTATCCAGATGAGTTGACAGGCCAGGCCGTTGCCGCCTACGTTGCCTTAAAGGACTCCAAACCAACCACCGCTGAGGAATTGGAGGTTGTCAGAAAGGAGTTGATCTTGACCGTCAGAAAGGAAATCGGTCCGTTTGCCGCCCCAAAGTTGATTTTGCTTGTTGACGATTTGCCAAAGACTCGTTCCGGTAAAATCATGAGAAGAATCTTGAGAAAGATCTTGGCTGGGGAAGAGGACCAGTTGGGTGACATTTCCACTTTATCCAACCCAGCTGTCGTCGAGGACATGATTGCTGTGGTCAAGGGTGCCAGGAGGTGAGTAATTTAGGGAGCCTGGGATTCTGGTAACCACCAGGCCCTGTTAGTTTTAATTTATTGTTAATATGAATTCGTTGTAGCTGTGAGACTAGTTTTTTTCAAAAGGAGTTTAAATAATTTCAGCAGCCGTTGGATTGAGAGACCCTACCGGATTTAGTTTCCCTATCACCACAACCTTGGTTTACCTGGTGCATGATCACTTTCCGATGCTGGCCTACCATTATTGGGAGCAAGGCTTAACAAAACTTTATATACAGGCCCATTCCGGGACTTTCTGTTCATTTCCGTGAATATTCAATGGCTAGAATATGACTGGGCGCTTGTATCAATCATATATTATGGTTATTAACGAGGGATCACTTGACCAAGCTATGGTTACAGAGTTGGTCAGCAAGTGCTGCAAGCTTATCCATCTCCACTTTTTTTTTTTTGCACACCATCTCCCCCACTTTAGTTTGCCCGAAAGGAAACCTCTTGGAAACCTGGAACTGGCCATTTGACATAACCATACATTCATACTATACAGGAGATCTCAGCTCATCGTTTTCTAGTGGCGTGCTTAGGCATCCATATCGTTGAGACCCAAGTCTTCGTTCTGGTCGAAAGTTCTCTCAAACTCAACAATCTCCATGTTTGGATCAGCGTCCGGAGCGTAGACGTTCTGGATGTAGGACGCGGCCAACGGATCCTCCATAATTACGGTGAACTTGGAACCACCATCCATAGCGACCTGCAAGTTGTTGAAGAAGGTGAGCCACCTGGTTCTGGTTTCGTCATCCATGGAGTCGGAGGTGTGCTGGAAGACCCTGTTGGTCAACTCCTCATGGACCTGCTTTAATAAACCCTCAATGGTGGTGAAACGGCCACCCAAGGTCCCCGGGGTTAAGTCCAAGTTTAACTCAGGGATGGTGAGGCCACAGGTTTCGGACTTGAGAATGTCACGGGCCAAATCCTCTGGGTCATCGACGGCCAAGGTAATCTTCTTACCCTTGTCTGGGATAGCGCCACCGGTCTTGACCTCGTTGGACTTGTAACCACAGCCATCACACGATGTGGACATGATGATGACGTCGGTGAAGTGTGGGATCTTGACTGGCTTCATGTGGGTGGTGCAGGGGGCGAAACAGGAGGAACAAGTGGCGTGGAAGGTTTGCACTTCGTTCTCAAAGTTTTCAATCTCAGATTGGTCAGAGACAAAGCCGACAACGGATGGGTTTCTCTCCTCCTCTTCCAACGCAGCCTTCCTGGCCTTTCTGTCCTCAGCGGCCTGCGATCTTTGTTCGGCAAGCGTGTCTTCGCTGAGCAAGCCGAGAGTCACGTTTTGATCATCGGTTCTGTTGTACTGGTGGGAAGACCACTTGTGGCTAGCCTCACCTGGGAGGAACTCGATCCAGGAGTTACCGGCCGGGTCATCCAAGGTGACGGTTAACGGCAAGGTCCCTTCTGCGCAGTCAATATAGGACTGGATCTTGTTAATGACGCCTTGGATTTTCTCATGCATTTCTGGCTGGATGCTCTTTCTAACTGGCTGGTCGCTCTCCAAGTCCTGGATCATCTCTGAGAGAAGACCCTCGACAGTGGTGGACTGGCCTCTCTTTGGGGGAATCTCGATGTCCAACTCTGGGAATCTGACATTCGCGGTCTCCGACTTGATGACCTGTCTGTTAAAGTCTGACCTCGATTCGATCTTCAAGGTGTATCTGGAGCCCTTTTCTTGGATCTCGGAGGCCGGCTGGATGTCGGTGCTCTTGAAGTTGCAGTGTGGACACTCGAAGGACATGATCACAACTTCACGGAAGTACGGAATGGAGGTGAGCAACATACGGGTGACACCAGTCTCGTGGCAGTACATGCACAAGGACTCGATTTCCTGGACCGGGTGACCCATCGCGTCGTAAGCCCCGGTGGTGCGGAGGCCTTGGTCGTCGAACTCTGGGGCGTCAGCGGTTTCACCGTCGTCAACGTTCTGTGCCTGGTCACCGAGAGAGGTGAATAAATTTTCCTTTTCTGGCTGGGACATTTTTTGTTTTTTGGCGGTATCAGAATCTGGGATGGCTTCGTACCTCTTCATTGGAAATCTCACTCAATATATAAGAATATTACTAAGCTGCATGAGTGAAAGAAAAAAAAAAAAAAATGGATGGCATCTTCTAGAAGCAAAGCCTTATGTACCGGATGGTAAAAGCGTGTATCTACCGGATTTGTTACCCGGCTGCTCGCAACAGATTGACTACGATGAAAAATATACAAAGTGGAGAGGTACGCCAAACTGACCCAGTACAGATAGGAAGACCTCGTCATGCCAGTTGTTCCTAACACCCTCACACCTGCAGCACTGCGTCTTGCTCAGCTCATCAAGTTGTCCTGCGGTGTTTTCAACGAGGTTTACAATCCTACCCAGATCAGAACCGGTGCCAAGTACTTGAAGAGAAAGTTGAAGGGTCACGTTACCGGCTCCTACTACACTCCAAACAGCTTTCCCTCCGTGTACGATTTGAAGAAGCACTTCCCTAAGGAGATCCAACACCGTTTTATCACCAATGAGGACAAGTACAAGTTGCACATGACCTTGGCCAGAAAAAGAAGAGGTAAGGGTAAACCAAAGAAGAAGGACGGTCCACCACCTGAGGATCCTAAGAGCAAGAAGAAGTAAGGGTGAAGGAAGCCAAGGAGAAAAGCGCCTAGCGGGTGCACAGCATGGGATTTCCCATAGTCGGATATCGTCCGCTCATGTAAATATATTAGCTTATAAATTGTCGATAAGATTGTGAAATGCGTAGATTGGGATTGAAGATAACGCGGGCACTTAATATGGCTGTGTTCACTTTGTATCGGAGCCATAGACAGTGGCTTATATCACACCTGTTCTAGTGTAACTTTGCTCGATGGTGCAACAGAAATCCTGTCTCTTCCTGAGCCCTCAAACTGGCGCGAATATCTGTAACATGGGTTATGCACCAGTACAATTATCTGTGGTTGTATATCTAGTGTTGATGTTGTGACCAGTGGTTTGGACCAAAGATCTGGTAAGGCAGAACTGTGATCAGAAATATGCGAGACAGTACCGGTGAGGTGAAATAATGCAAGCCCCTTCGGAGGACTGGCCGATAGTCTTTAAATATCAATTATACTAAAATTCATTTATCTTTAACTCAGCTTTTATTTATCTTTAACATATACTTTGCTCAGGTTTAAATCTTTTCAAAGGAAAATGCGAGATAGAACGCACATGCCTCCTTCTCTTCGCCTTCCACACCGTAGCTGCCATCGGATCTCTTCATGCCCTCAATAATCTTTGGACTCAATCTATGGAACCACTCGGGAATACGCTCCTTGTACAACTCAGTGAAAGAGCCTCTGTATCTCATTTCCAAGTTGTAGTCCTCGGCTAACGCTCTGAATGCATTGAACGGCACAATGTACTCTGGCACGTTGTCCACGGCATCCTTCAAGAAATACGTGTACTTGTTGCCGTAGATCTTGCCAAAGTTGCCGTCTGCTGGCACATCCTCCTCGAACTCAACCGAGTAAATGGAGTTCCCGAACTTATTCTTGTTTGCCACCTTTTTGACGTGATTTCTAGCCAACTTTGCCTTGATAAAATCGGAATCAGGAATCGTCCCGATAAAAAATCCGCCTGTCTTTAAGCACTTGGACACATTTTCCAACATGCGGCGAGCTTTGGCTTCCGACTCGAAAGAGTAGTGCAAACAAAACTGCATCGACACCATATCGAATGGATACTGGATCTGGTCCAGCCCAAAGTTGGGCGTGAGGATTTCCGGCACTGTCAGTGAGAAGCAGTCACCTGTGGCGAAAAATGCCTCAAACGGCTTCTGGCGCAAGTTCTTGTACCGCTTGATGGCCTCCACAATGGATGCGTCACTAATGTCGATACCCACAAACTGGCGAATGCGTGCCATCGCGTACTTATTCAAGTCACCACCCTTGCCACAGCCAAGCTCGAGTACACGGTTGTTGGCCGCCGCGTACGTGTTGATCAAGATGTACTTGATGGCATTGTTGAAGTTACGCATTTTGATGATGGGAGAAAGGTTTCTGTTCTCCTTGCGCGCAATATGCGCCCTCTGGTTGTAGAAGTCACGCACGTGTTCGTTGTTGTTGACGTAGTTCTTGTGTTGCGGGTTGTGGCGGGACATTTGGTGCTGTGTTTTGCGCTCCTCGTGCTCTCGTGCTTCCTGCGCTTTGCGCTGCTGGTCGCCCACATCCATCCGGCGGTTCGGCCTCTTCAACTTATGCAGCTCCGACAACGGGCTTTCAGGTTTGGCTTCCGAAGTTGGGACCCGGGTTCCCGCCGAGGATATTTTGTTGAACTGGCTGAACTGCTCGTCTGTCATCCAGACGGGCTTGGCTGTTGTAGGTTTCAGGACAGGCTTGGGTGGAAGCGCTTCTTGCAGAAGTCTGCGTTTTCCAGTAGAGGCTTCAGCATCTCTAGCTGGGTCGTAGGTCGGTTGATCGGACATAATAAGTGTAGAGAGGAGGACCGTCACTTGCTATTCAACTAGGCGCCGTTCATTTCTTGGAAAATTAGATGATATTGAACACGTGATGCTTGGTTATACGTGCAGGTTAAATAGTATTTCGGGCGTAAGGCTGGTATTCATGATATAACAAAGTTGGACTGAACAGAGGGGCAAGTGGACTTTGAGCAACTCAATTCAATCTCTCAAAGTAGGCATTTGTGTAAAGAGACAACGATGGTGAGATATCTGGCATTGGGTAGTTCTCTTGGTTAATGTCTTTGGGCATAAGTGAACGTCCAAGTCATGTTTCTCCCTCCCCCATTAACGTTGATCCTTACTGGTATAGCTTTCTATTATCTTTTTTTTTCTAGGGTTGAATCCCTTTTCTTCTATTTAATGATAAGTGTTTACGATAGGCAACTTGTCATAGCGCATTCTCGTGCGCCGTACCGTCCCTACGCCTTGCCTTCTCAGACCATCGAGTTGCTACGATTAAGGAAGGCTGTGGCCAATTCTTATTCATAAATGTGCATCCTAAATTATTGGAAGGCATACCTCTAGCGCGTACGGTAATCAATATTTGCTGGAGTTATAGTTGCACTAAAAAGCGATTGGTCCTCAATCAAGGTCACTTTCACAAGAGCCAGTGAATGACATTCCCACTATCCTGTTGATCCAAGCATCAGTACACGTAGTCAAATCTACCATAGGGGCTGAGGGTTAGCCTTGCTATAGATAATACCTGAATAAAGCTTAGAAAAGAGATATAGAGGACTAGGTTGTATAACACGAAATGATGCACATGCATTACTGGCCAGCAGACCCAATAAAGGAGTGACCACTCCACCTCGAAAAATAAGGACCCCTATTGACTTCACTAAACTCTTAATTTACAGATAATTAGATTGTCAGATGTGACATTCTCTGCTGACCCGCCTTTACGACATCTTCATCTTCGAACGTGCATAACCCTGCATATAATTAGATGACTTCTATTATGAGTTTTCCGCTTTGGGTAAGCTTTTCACGTTTTCTGTCTTCGGCTGCAGGAGGCTGCCTGAGGTCAAGGGAGGTCCTTAGCCACGCTGCTAAGATCTGATGCCTATCATATATCAGTAAGAGATCACCACTTTTCGGTAGACCTACTATCCGTCTTTTCATTATCCCAATTCCTTCATCGCGAATCATGACACAAGGAACAAGTCGCCCCAATCGAGGTGTCGAGCATCACCAACCTACCTCTGGAATTACAGGGGTTCCCAAACGATACAGAGTGCACAACCCAGATATCAATGTTAGAGAACGAACCGTCTCTGGAAAATCCGATAGAAGAACGTCGGAAGGTGACCGAAACAGCTCCGAGTACTGCACCGCGAGGGCCAGCCCTGCCAAACAGCGGACTTCCGTGTCCTCCAGCCGTGCCTCGTCCCACAGTGAATTGGGGTTTGACCTCACGGGTGCCTTTGCGGCCGAAGACCCTATATCGCCTGCCTCCAGCACCACAGAACGACTTTTCCGCCAGCCTCACACGCGGTTCCCGCAAACCAGCCGCCGAGCCATGTCAGAGGCGAGTCCCCTCGAAGAGGATACCAGCTCATCGCATTACACTCATAGACCCTACGCCACACCCTCAGAAGGGGATACCGTTCCGGATACATTGCGGATGCTGGGGTCAACTGAGGAGTACGAACCACAGGCCCACCAACCACGTGACTGGCATCGTATCTCACAGCAGAGTCTGGAGCGGCTTCCGCAACCGCTTCCACACGCTCGTAGCCAGGATTACATTATAGATGCTCGTCTCTCCTCTAATGGGCGGAGACGAGCATACGACCCCCAAGCCTGCAAAGTTTCTGGAGAGTCGCAGCCGATGTTTCACGAGTTCTCCGCACCGATCGGAAATCCGCTTAACTTCGAACCAAAAGATCCAAACGCGACCAGATACGCAGAACAATCGCAGTATCACGAACCAGACGGCACGGATATTGCAGAGCAGGCCTACTACCGCCCAGAGATCCTAGACGAATACAACCAGCCAGATTACTCCGAGTACAATCCACCTTCCGCGTTTGGGGCCACCACGCCGCCAGCAGTTCCGCCGCTTACACTTCTCGGCCGCTTGCCCCTGCGCGAAGGAAAGTATGATTTCTTGGCTGGTAACCGGACCATGGTGCACAACCAAACGCCTTTCTTGAAGCTGCGTCCGCCGACCGAGCTACTGGCTGCGCCGTTTATGACTATGGAGAATGCCGTCAGAACCAGTATTTCGGGCAGCGAGTGTACGATGACGGAGGATCTTGTGGAAAAGGCGAGCCAGTTCACCCTGACCTCTGAAAAGGAGCGGGCACGTTCTATGGAAAAGGCTTTGATCCATAAAGTGATGATCCATCCGTTGGGGTCATCGCCGTTGGTAGTTGGTGGAAACCCCGTGCCCATGACGCTCAGCTTTGTGGTGCATTTCTTCCAGATGTGTTGTGGGGTGATCATGATTGCACTCACAGCCCACGGGGTTAATGCCGATACAGGAATCGCCCAGGGGATCTGGATTTACCTCATCTTCCAGAGTTGTTTGCTAGTGTTTGTTTCCATGATGTTCATGGTGAATTTGATGTCGTACGATCATAACAACGGGATTTTCTACTGTTTGGTTGCAAGTATCCTCTCCGTTGTGGGCTTTGGCTTGTCTGTAGGGGCCATGATGCCTGCATCTGCTACTTGTCTGACCGGTAATGCCAATTTGTGCACACTACGCCGCGCGGTCACCGGGTTCGCGATCATTATGATGCTCGTTTGGTTGGTTAATTTGGTGTCGTTTATCACCATTTTCTACATCTCGCGGTTGAACTTGATAAACGAGTTGAACTTTGACGCCGCCCCCCCTGGTGAGTTTAACAATGGGGACGTAGACCCAGGTCGGGCCAGTGTTTTTCGTGACTTTGACGATATCAACGAGGATGCAGTTTTGGACAAAGGGCTTCTTCTCCATGACACCGGCTCGATTCGTGAGGTGAGCAAGAACGAGCTTGTGGGACGAAAGAAGATCATCTTGTACACATAAGCGATACGATAAACTCAGGTTGTTTTACCGATAGAGATTCAGCCGTAATGAAAAGAAAAAACAGATATTATCTTGGTTAACGACCATATGCCAATGGTCAACTCAGGATAGTGTTCATGGGTAGACAGCAAGGTTGTAATATATGAGCAAAGTACTCATAACGGAAGAATTCTAACAAAGTGCTCATATTAATAATATTTGGCCACATCATTTTATCGATTAGGATGGACTTGTTCGTGCATATACAAGCTATATCGTGTCCAGGTTTGTCAAAAAATAAACATAGAGCCATTGGCTACTCCAGATTAATACGGTCAGATCTATAATTGAAAATTTATTCAATCGTTGTATTCCAATATGCATACTATAATAAGGTCATAGCTATTGCTTTTAAATAGGTAGCGCCTCAAAAGGCTGAGCGGCGTCTCAACCCAGCACAAATCGAAAGATGTTTCTTTTGTGCTCTGAGCTGTGACTTTTAGTATACCCGAACTATCACCATGATTCATACTTCTTTGAAGAATAAGACCCCATTTGTAATGTCTGTCTAATCGTTCTTTCACCACCACCATGCAATTAGCCTCTATCGTCTGTCATTTTGCCCTTTTGATGCCAGTTTATGGTGCAGCAATTAATATCCCTGATTTTACCAATACAGTAGCCTGTCCCTCGCAGCACCCCGAGAAGCCTTTTAACAGCCCTGATGACGCGATTACGTACATCCAAGACTCGTTTCTCGTATTAACCCAGGACCTCATCACTAGAGACTTCTTGATCCAGCTAGGGCTCGGCTGGATGGCAGCTCTGGGGGAAAAAGTGGAAAACATGCAAAACCACTCAATAGAGAACCTCCTATTTCTACAAAACAGTTCTAGTATGTTGGTTTTCAACACCAGTGAGTCTCGTCTCATACCAACCAACAGTACCCGTGGAGATATTGCCCAGTTTATATACCACTCTATTCCTTTCACTTTGCCCACATTTCACTGCTTAGCTGAGTATTATATGGTTATTCCAAATAGCTATATCATGGCAAACAACCCCGAGTACTCGCGGAGTTCCCATGAAGATGCTAGAAGAGCCACAGATGTCAAAGTGGCAAAGAAATTCAAGGATCAGGTCCCATGGCGACACCTTGACACTAGCAGGCCCACCTTAATTTTGATAATTAACGGCGGCAGTTCGATCAGGGACACGGTCAAGACGCCGTTCATGGGTACCAAGGACTGCTTGCCAGTAAACGGTGACGGGAGCTCCATCGACGCCTTTTTCGATACCTTAGCAGATAGCTGGGCGGGGAAATTAGGGATTACACCGTTGTTACATTCAGTTTTTTGCACGATCCAGATGGGACACACAGACCATAGTTTCTGTGTACAGCTTAGTAAGGACAACACCGAGATATCTCTTACTCACGCATTTGCCCAAGCGCCGACGGATGAGTTTGCTAAGCAGACCGTAGAGCTTTACAGGCCCAAGCTCAACCCAAAATTGATCGCAGGAAAGTTTTTGGGGAGAATTAACGGCGCGAGAACGGCATTAGTTCCGGAAGTGAACGAACTTGAGACATCTTTTGGAGCGATGGCTCGGAATTCAGAAGTAAACGTATTCAAACGGCAGCATCGCGAATATCCGTTCTGGGAGGACGCAACCATTCCACTAGCGATGGTACAGGCGGTAGAAACGAAGGTATCCAGTCCGCGAAATAAGAGCTACTCGCAGGTGTTGATCGATCCCGATACGGAAATATCACTCATACGGCGAAATGGCAAGAGTCCGAAAACGGTGCAGAAACGGGAGCAGGCAAAGGCCAGAACAGATGCCTCTACGGAATGTGCCAAAGTGACTTGGTACAATTTATTCCATCATAGCGTGTTTGGTAAGCCTACAAATTTCTGCGTGTAGAGTTTATGGAACCACCTGTCAGAATGCTTGTCTGAGCGGTTTGCTGTATTTTGTAACCCTCTCTTTATCCGACGGCTCTCCTGAGAACTCTGCCGATTTGGTTCTGCATCTGTACCTACTATGTACCCAGAACCGTAGGTGTCCTATCCATTATTAGGTAAATATAGTCATATATTCCTCCTCTTCCCGTAGCTACCATTGTCCCCGCCTTATGAGCTCTCGGAGTTAGGACTCGATAGGGAAACTCCTCCCTATGCACGAGCATGGGTGTCACTTTCATCTCATACGTTCTGCGGCTGTGTAGACTGAGGAGACAATCTCCTCCTCGGCTGCCAGGACTAAAGTGGCCTTGCAGGATTTCTAAGCTATGGTAGGGGGCCACCGCCGACGAGTTGTGTTTATCATTTATATTGCTACAGGTACCCGGGACTCATTCTTCGTATAACCATCCTAAAATACTCGATAATGGCTTCCAAGACTTTCGGCAGCTGCTGCTTCAAGACCACCTTACACGAAGGTACCCCTATCGGGAAGCACGAGCAGCTTTTCGGCAGCAAGACCTACATCGTGGGTGAAAACAAGGGCAAGATTATCGTTATCCTCACCGATGTCTTTGGCAATTCCTACCTCAACAACAAGTTGATTGCCGATGAGTTATCCAGAAACGGTTACTGTGTGGTGATGCCTGATCTTTTCGGCGGTGACGATGCTGATTTGACCCAGCCAAACGCCTTTGCGGCGCTCCAGCCATGGTTGGCGAAGCACCAGAAACTCACTCCTGGCATTGTGGATTCGTTCTTGCAGCAACTCAGAGCCGAATGGAAGCCATCGTTTGTCGGTGGGATTGGCCACTGCTACGGTGCCAAATACGTTGTACAGCACATGACCACCACCGGTGAGTTTGATGCTGGTGCCCTTGCCCATCCTACCAACATCACTGTCGAAGAAGTTGAGGCCTGCGACAAGCCACTTTTGATCAATGCTGCCGAAACTGATCGCATTTTCCCGGAGGAGTTAAGAAGAAAGACCGAGGATATCTTGAAGGCCAACAAGAACGTCTATGAAACGGTCATCTTCGGTGGTGTCACGCACGGGTTTGCCGTCAGATGCGACCCATCCGTACCAGCTCAGAGATACGCTAAGGAAAAGACCTTGTGTGACCAGGTCATGTGGTTCAACAACTTTTCTGCTTAACAGGAACTGACCGGATCGATATATGTATACAATAGATAGTTTACAGTGTGAGCTAAACCTTGGGAAGCCAAGGTCTTAGCCAGGGAATAGCTTGAAGCATATAGGCCGGTCATTAGCCATAGGTGGGTACCGTTTAGACAGCAGCATTTAAAAATGGAGGTTCTTAAAACATGGATCTCCTGCCTATGCACTACAAATGGCATTGCAGTTTCCGTCCGCATTGTACTCATAGCACTAGCTTGAATAAATCAATATGGGTCACTATCGAAGATAATATTCGATGAGAGAGAAAAATAACGCTAGCGCGTTATGGGTTGGAAAACGGTCAAATAACTTTGCTTAATTCGCGTTTAGTTGAAATACGCTTTATGGGTTTAGACTTGATAAAATTATATTGCCTGAATAGTCCCTAGGTTGTCCATTCTTCTGTTGTGTGGGTTGGCTATCCCAAGAGATGGCAACATTAGAAGCATGGTAACCTCCATCCAAACATCCGGTATTCGGTGATAAGCACGCATTTGGGAATCTTATTTCGGCTCTTTTCTACCTATAAAGTGCCATAAAATAGCTTATTACTAATGCCATCGCAGGGAAGTTTTTTTGGTTATTTGACCAGCGTGCAGTGGGGTCCGTGGCAGTGCAATCCATACAGTCTGCAGCTACCATTTTTCGGCCTAATATCCGCGCAAGCATTCAGCATGGATTTGTCATCATGGATTTGGCCTACACGTTTTGGCATATATAACTGCACCTCCCCCCCCCCCCCCTCGTTGCTTGCTGTTCTCACTTTCTTTCTCTCTCATATCAACTCAACTCAATTACAATGGCTTCCAATCCTCCAGGCGCTTGCTGCTTAAAGACCACCTTTCACGAGGGTGCCCCAGTCGGAAAGCACTCCGAACTTTTCGGTCTCAACACCTATATCACTGGTGAAAACAAGGGTAAGTTCCTTATCATCCTCACCGACATTTACGGTAACACCTACAACAACGTGTTGTTGGTTGCGGACCAATTGGCCGCCAATGGGTACCAGGTGTTGATTCCGGACATTTTGGACGGCGACGACGCTATTTCCGACCACCCAGACGGCATGAACTATTTGATGCCATGGTTACGCGTCCATGAGAAGACCGCTCCTCCTATCATTGCCAAGTTCTTGGAGAGTTTTAAGGCTGAATACAAGCCTTCCTTCGTCGGTGGTATCGGCTACTGTTTCGGTGCGAAGTACGTTGTGCAGCAATTGGGCGCCAATGGTGTCTTTGATGCTGCAGCCATTGCCCACCCATCGTTTGTGAGCATTGAGGAGGTCAAGGCTATCACCAAGCCTCTCTTGATCAGTGCCGCAGAAACCGACAACATCTTCCCAGAGGAATTGAGACGCCAGACGGAAGATACCTTGAAGGAGATGGGTGCCACCTACCAGATATCCTTGTTCTCCGGCGTTGAACACGGGTTCGCTGTCAGAGGTGACTTGAAGAAGCCAGCCGGTAAGTACGCGTTGGAAAAGACCTTGCTCGACCAGAGCGTGTGGTTCAACGCCTTTTCCACCAAAGCGGAAGCAGCAAACTTATAATAAATGATTAGTTTTTAGAGTGCATAGGTTCACAGTACCGTAAACCAGAAGCGGAGAGAAAGGTTGTACGTTTAGAATGGTTTTAGGTACTCTCACGGTAAGGGAGAGCAAAGGAGTTAGATGGGTCTGTTCTATTGAATCAGCACTGTCGACTAGGCGTTCTATAAAACATATTTTCGGTACCAGTATTGTTATTGGGCCATTACTGGGTTTATACCTATTCAGAAACACCGTACTAGATCCTAAGCGATTTACTCGGTGATGTTATAAGTCATCTACTTGGTGGTATAAGTGGTCAACGTATATTTGAAGGTTGTAAGAAAAAAAAAATATGGTACTGACAGGACCTATGATTTATAAACGATACAAATCTGGTGTACTGCAACAGAGATACCACTTAGAAGCATGGGCTCAAATTCTGGAAACAGCCGTTGATGGATGGCAAGCTAGAGGCGGGGACGCTGCCACTCTTACAGGAGTTACCGTAACTGATCAACATGTTACCGAAATCCAGGGCGCAGTACTTCTTGTTGGCATTCCAAGATGGAGCGCAGCCTTGGGTAAAGATCTGGAGCTGAGAACACCCCTGCATGATGATTTGCAAATTGGCCTCCGAGATTCCAGGGTTCGACTTGCAGTAATTACCCCAAGAAATTAACTGATCACCGCAGCTGGAGATGGAGCTATGACTGATCGGTGGTGGTGCAATAACTTCAATCAGGGAAGCACAGTCACCGATGGTGCCCCAGTTGAGGTTCTTTACCAGGTTGCACTGGTATTTCTGGCCGATGGTGATCAAGTGGTTACCAATATCCAGGTAGCTGTTGCACTGTGGAGTTCCGTAGTTTGGAACGGTTCCGCAGAGTGTAAGCAATTGCTGCTTGGCATTTGCGAAGCAACTTTGATCATAGCTACCCTGCTGACATCTGTTACCAAGGGCAACCAATCTGTCACCAAAGGAGTTACAGTTGAACGCCTGGGAATTGCTGCCGATGGTACAACCAGCAATGTTGGCAAGGACGTTAGAAAAACCGTTGCTACCAAACCAGCTCAGAAATAGGTTGGAATCGGCGAGAGCAATGGCGTTTGGCTGGGCTTCGGCCATTGGGGCCGCAATGGCAGTGGAAAGCAAGATAGTAGCGAGAGTAACAGCGGAGAACTTCATAGTGTATTTGAAAGGTAGGCTTTAATAATGAGAAATCAAATGAAAAAAAAAGAACTTGAAAGAATTGGGGGCATATTTATAGAATCTTTGATGAAGGGGGTTTAACTCATATTATTCTAAAACTGGCCCAAGTCTGCTTTCGGTAATTCTATATGGCAATTCAGTTGATACAAGGGCGCATGGCTCCTTTGGTCTGGGTAGTCTTGGGGTCTCTTCATTGTTATTAGCGAGGCGATTTTGGGTGGAATAAATGTCTCATAGCTGTATAACTATGCCTCCTAACGGTACAACTATGCCTCCTGACTATAAAATTATACCTTGCGTAATACTGATTAGGAGTTTTGTTTATGAAGCATTAGCTATTGTACCCCACTGGTTCCTGGAATCCTCTATATGCCGCCTCTGCAGCTTTTAAGACATAACTCCTTGACTTGTACATTAAGCCATTGTTTTCTTGGTTGGGTGAGCGGGGTTTTACAGTCAGAATAAGCCCATTTGTCTAAGGGCTGATTACACTTCCGGATATGTGTGTGTACGAGGGCTGAGAATTAGAGACGGGTAAAATATTCTGACTATTTGTGGTGCTGGAAGCCAGCACATTCTAAAATATTATGATCGCAAACGATTACTACACGGGATCTGGCCAGCTGCCAAAAACATTAGATCCTAAAATATCCTAGAAGAACGGTGGAAATCTCTCACACAATGATCAATCGGGGGAGATTCATCTCCGGCCCATTGTAGCCGCCTTTAGCTGTTCAATGCAGCCGACGCCCGCATATGGAGAGACTGAGGCGTCGACAGACAGCTTCTTTTTATCCAACTCTCAGAGTTTGCAGGGTCATAGAAATTGTTTATGGTGATCATTAAGACCAAAATAGCTGGATAGAAGTACTCTAGGATGCCAACAGGAGTGAGGGGAGGTTTGGCTCGGACAAAAATTTATTAATAGTTACTAGTAGCTGTGGCCCAGTATTGACTGACGATAGGAATGAAACCCAACCTTACTGCATGCAGTCAGTGCATACCCCTGGAATTGATTAGGAGTTCTTCTGAGATTTACGCTTGACCCCCTGCCACTGCAGGATAAATAAAGTGTTCCTTTTGGACATGAGAGGAAGCTATTACAAGGGTTGGGCGTCGCTTGGGGCTTCTAAATGGACAATTCGATAAAGGCATGCGCATATGCGCGATACCAGGGGCTTTAGGCATTTGGTAGCAACGTTCAATGTGCAATAGCCCTGGTATGCTAAACGCAGCCTGCTATTTTACTGAGGTGTTTTATGTTACCCAGCTAAGTATGTGTTTTATCATTAAAGACAGGCGGGAGCATTAGTTAAACGAGACAGCTATGGGTATTTTTTTCAAGCTGGAAACTTTAATGGTAGGGATTATTCGTATATATTTTCGTTCCCGAGCATTTTCCGAATCCCCAGTTTTTGAGTTCGGAAAAATTCTCAAGGGTTTAGGGAGGATGTATGTGGAGTTATAAAGTTTTGTATACATACGTGCTATATATATTTATTCTTCGTTCTGGCTAATGATTGATACATAGTTTTAATAATTAAAATATGTGCGTATGAATTAATTTTGGAGTTTAAATTATATTCTGAGATTTAATTGACCCATGAATAATGAATAAGCATAAAAACCACGATGGAATTTTACGGAGTTGAAATCGATATACTTGTGGTATATCTCTGCCTCGAGGATAAAATAATTACTTGTACAAGTATTATACTGGTTAGATATATAACTTGCATAGGATAAAAGAAGGAGGAATCGATCTCATTATATGAGGTATCAATCTCTGCTACATGACCACCACACACTTACTACAATACTGAAAACTCGGACCACGCATGCCAACGCCGTACGTGCTGGGTAGGTAGATATCGTTACGGCACTGAAAAATTTTTTTTTTTTCAATAAACCCAACTTATATTTATTACATCTATTCCACCTCTATGGATGTATAATCGCCCACCTGCTAATATATATCTACCGAGGAGATGGATATCGCGCTTCCCGGGAGGATCTTCCGGTCGTGCGTTGCACCCGCTAACGCCGGGCTACCGACCAATCACCAGTCCCCGGACACGGATGCGATCCCGGAATTCTCCTGCCTGGAGTGTCCGACCTCCACATATATATAGACACAATTTTCCACCTCAGATAGGGCCCCCGTTTCCCCCCCACACCAACATGCTTAGAACCTCCGCTAGAATCTCTAGAGTGTCCTTGACCTCTACCCGCACATTCACCTCTTCTATCTCTTTGTTTGGCTCCAGAACCGAAAAGGATGCCTTCGGTGACATCGAGGTTGCTTCCGACAGATACTGGGGTGCCCAGACCCAGAGATCTTTGCAGAACTTCAAGATCGGTGGTCCACGTGAAAAGATGCCAGAGCCAGTTGTGCGCGCTTTCGGTATCTTGAAGAAGGCCACCTCTATCGTCAACCAGGCGCAGGGTACCTTGGACGCCACCATTGCCGGCGCCATCCAGCAGGCTGCCACCGAAGTCGCTGAGGGTAAGTTGATTGACCATTTTCCATTGGTTGTTTTCCAGACCGGTTCTGGTACCCAGTCCAACATGAATGCCAACGAGGTCATTTCCAACAGGGCCATCGAGATCTTGGGCGGCGTGTTGGGCTCCAAGTCTCCAGTCCACCCTAACGATCATGTTAACCAGAGCCAGTCCTCTAACGACACCTTCCCCACCGTCATGCACATTGCCGCCGTCACCGAGATCACCCACCACTTGTTGCCCGAATTAGTTGGGTTGAGGGATGCTTTAGCCCAGAAGGCTGAGGAGTTCCAGGATATCATCAAGATTGGAAGAACCCACTTGCAGGATGCCACCCCGTTGACTTTGGGCCAGGAGTTCTCCGGGTACGTTCAGCAGTTGACCAATGGTATTGCCAGAGTCGAGGCTACCTTGCCAAACTTGAAGTTCTTGGCCCAGGGGGGTACCGCTGTTGGTACTGGCTTGAACACCAAGCTCGGGTTCGACGCCAAGGTTGCCGAAGAAGTTTCTAAGTTGACCGGCTTGGACTTCCAGACCGCACCAAACAAGTTCGAGGCCTTGGCTGCCCACGATGCCATTGTCGAGGCCTCCGGTGCCTTGAACACCGTCGCGGTCTCGTTGTACAAGATTGCTAACGATATCAGATACTTGGGTTCTGGCCCAAGATGTGGGTACGGTGAATTGTCTTTGCCAGAAAACGAGCCGGGTTCCTCCATCATGCCGGGCAAGGTAAACCCTACCCAGAACGAGGCCATCACCATGGTCTGCACCCAAGTCTTTGGTAACCACGCCTGCATCACCTTTGCCGGCGCATCCGGCCAGTTCGAGTTGAATGTCTTCAAGCCAGTCATGATCTCCAACTTGTTGTCTTCCGTCAGATTGTTAGGTGACGCCTCTAACTCCTTCAACGTCAACTGTGTCCAGGGCATCAAGGCCAACAAGGAGAAGATTGACAAGTTGTTGCATGAATCTCTCATGTTGGTTACTGCGTTGAACCCAAAGATTGGTTATGACGCCGCTTCCAAGACCGCTAAGCACGCCCACAAGAACAACTTGACCTTGAAGCAGGCCGCGTTGGAGTTGGGTGTCTTGACCGAGGAGGAGTTCGACCACTGGGTCAGACCAGAGAACATGATTGGTCCAAAATAACCGATCTGTAAATAGGGAATAAAGAATTACGATACTAAAAAGTCGACTCTGAAATGTAGCGTCGCAAAGGTTACGAGAATAGAAGAATGGCGGAATAGTTGGGCAAAGCTAGGGGCTATTCGTTTAATATAGGTGGAGAGAGCGGCAAAATTCAGCATCTGCTTTATGCCCGGAGGTGCAAAACAGAGACCGATTCCGACGAATCCATGGCCATGACTGATTTACACCCAAAATAGTGCTTGAGATATCGGTAAATTTTCTTTAGAAACACTCCTTGCAGTATCGCCACACCGCCTGAAATCACGAAATGACCATTCTTTAAGCATTGGAGCGGGTGCATTGGTAAAAGCCAACGAATACTCGATAGACGTTACAATATCTGAAACCTAAGGATCCTTTTATGGTAGCGCACCCAGGGACTTTCTAGACTCTCTGTATGATTACAGTGAGAATCCATAAAGCACTGCTCGTAATGGTCTAAAAACTAAACCTTTATTCATGCTAAAAAGCCTTGTATATACACACCGGGGGTTCTTACATCAAGTAGGAGTTAACACTCAACAAAGTGGCCCGACTAGGATTGACCTTCTTGTACTCCAAGATCCTAGCAAGCCACTTCTTCACATACTCTTTGCTCACAACCTCGTTCTTCGTTTTGTTCAACGTGACTGTATCGAGATTGTAGTATTGGCACAAGATCACAAGCACCATGCCTACGGACAAGTCTTTGCCCGTGTCACACACAATCAAGATCGAAGCGTTAGCCAAAACCTCCGATTCAAGCTGTGCCATAATCTGGGGCAACTCCTGCCTGAACTGCTTGGACCCCTTTTTTGACGATTGGAACGGATAATTCAACACCTTACACCTCCCGGCAGCACTTTCAATCGCAAAGTTTTCAGAAAAACAGACTGCAACCTTGTAGGAATGTTGATAGGCCTCCAACCGCAAGTTTGCCAGGATCAATCCAAAATCGAGACAGGTATCACCAACCCTTAGGATCCCCAAAGCCTGAGTCAAATCATCGCTGTTGGTAGTTGCCTGGGAGATATTTGTACTGTGTAGCTGTTCAATATTTAGTAAAAATTCAGCATCGTTAAGCGTGTTTATGTCAAAATTGGCATCTGCTACGACTTGCCAGAACAAAGGCGGACTGAGGTGCTTCCCAGCCCACAACTCGTGGTCATCGGCAGCTCCCTGGACGTAGTACCAAGAGTCGATAGCCCTTCCAGCTTTGTCATACGCGTAGTTCATTTCGATCCCGTCCTGGCACATCTTACTGGCGGTGCAGCAGATCACCGGATGGAAGTCATCGAAAACGCCAGGTGGGGTTTCCGGTAGGTTGATTGCGTTTTTGGGATCAGGAAAGACCCAAAGAGGGCGCAACGGTCGGCGGCTCAACATTTCGGCGAGCTGTTGTGGTTTGAGGATTCCCATCGCTGTTGCCCTCTGCGCAAACTGGGGGATGCGGGAGATGATTTGTGTGTATTCTGACTTTGACACCTGGCCCGGCGGACAATGCAACCAGTTGGTATGGGATTCCCCCTCTGGAGGTCCCATCATGACATAGTTTATCACCGCACACCAGATCGGAACCGTCTTGGAAAGCGCATCGGGGATGCGTTTGCCTCTGCGCGTGGAGTCTACAAGAATGATCCCGTTGTGGGAGGCGATGAGGGGGAGCAAGTGGAGGTTGAGTCGGCGGAGACTAAAGTCCCATTCATTGGTGTGACCATCGGTGGATTTAAAGTATGATGTTTCCAAACGCTGGGCAGGGGGAACGTACCACAAGCCACATCTTTCGTTTGGAACCAACGGCCGATCGTACGCTGTCTGGACCGCGGCGATCCATTCGTAGTCCTTGAGGATGGATTGGAGCCGATTTTTCACCGAACGGGAGCTGGAACGCAACTGTTTAGTGATGTTGTTAATGTTGAGCTCGTCCAAAATGGCTCGGTCCATCGTGAAGGAGCCTTAAGGAGAGAGATGAGGAAGAATTGTGGGCTTACCTATTGTATAATTTGTAGTTAAAATGTTCATGCCTGCATATGCATAGAATGCAGGATCCAGGCTGAAGAGTCGATGCCAAGTTTGATACTTTTACAATTAACAGGGCTTGAATCTGACGTCATATTAGTAAGGGAGTATTATTCCTTAGTAATTTGTAGGAAAACGGTGAAAGATACTGTTGAAATCCAGAGTATTTTGCCTGGAACTCGAAGACAATGGATTAATTCCAACGTGCGTGATACTCATTAAAGATTGCATGTCACCTAATTTCGCCCAGCTATCGTCTTAATAAATGTTTAGCTTGAGTATCCGATTAGATAGTTCGGTGGACTGGGCTGTAACTATAAATTCCTTTTCTCCAGCTCTTAGTCTGTGCGCATAATGGGTTAGTCCACTCATCCCTTCGCCGTTAGTAGTGGGATTCCTCGCCATGCAATGCGGATTTAGTTAAAAACACCTGGTCTCCACATTGTACGGGCCAAATAAGTTTAGTACCTTTTAACCATGTTTAGGACGTAAGCGGTTCTACTGTCCCTTGCAGAGAGTTTCCGCGGGATTGTGATTTCCGTATTGGGAAAGTGCAGAGGCGGCAAACGCGGAATTCATGAGTAACGCGGAATTATCTTCAAGCATTGCTTACTGCGTTTGAGATCATACGGAGCTGCTACATAGCCTATATCGTATGTATATACAAAATATGACTCTTTGCTGATCTTCAGATCGATTCTTATTCGTACCAATCAAAATGGCCAACAATAACGTTGCAGCCAACGTGCTAGCCACCATCGGAGCCACCCTCTGGTGCATCCAGCTCATCCCCCAAATCATACGTAATTATCGTGTGAAAGATTGCACCGGGCTTCCGCCTCTCATGATGTTTCTCTGGATGATCAGTGGGATTCCCTTTGGGATCTACTTTTCCGTCACAGATGCCACGATTCCGGTGAAGATTCAACCGCATTTATTCACATTCTTCGCCTCCTTGACGTTTATCCAGACACTATACTACCCACCGGTGCAGATACCCAAGACGAGAGTGATTGCAGTGATTGTGCTCACGTACGCCACCGCCATAGGGCTCGAAGTTGGGGTGATTTTGAACATGATCCCGCGATACAAGGCCAATGGACATGACAACGATTGGGGCCCGGTGTTGGCTGTGGGGGTCACTGCGTCGATTCTTCTTGCTGCAGGCTTGATTCCACCGTACTTGGAGCTCAGCAAGAACAAAGGGCGAGTAGTGGGGTTGAACTTTATGTTCTTGGCGATGGACTGTGCCGGGGCCATCTTTTCCACGGCCAGCGTCGCTCTTTCGTCTAGCGAGCCAGGGAAGGAGTTGGATGTAATGGGAATCACCCTCTACATTATTGTCGCGGGGATGGAGCTTGGCATCTTTGCCAGTCACGGTATCTGGTACTTGCGGTATCGGACCTTCAATAAAGGCGGGGAGGATGTTGGTCTGCAACTGCAGAGTGACGCAGAAGAAATATCCGACTCTGCTTGTGTATCAGTACACACCAGCGACAAAGGAAGCTGTTGTTATAAGTTTTAGACCGAAGTACTTGTGCAAATATACATTCTGAAGTTTTTTTCAGTGAGCTTCTAATTTAAGGTTGGTTTTGCTGGTAGATAAATAAGGAAGTCCCAGCTAGGGAAGCGTATTGGCTGCGGGTGCCTGCAAATATATTCGGTAAGAGAATACACGGGAAGACTATTGGAGGATAATACCAAGCCTTACAGATTATACCTATTTTTTTGTATGTACAGAGACTCCTACTACTCCGGATGTGAAACCTCAAGTTACTTGTTGAGGTTTGAAAGTGGAGCTTTTATTCTGAGATATGGTAATAAGCCACTTTCCCCAAAAGGAAGTTGGTAAACGGAGCGGGTTCCTTCTTCCAAGTTTGACTAAAGAGGGGTTGATTGATAGCCCACGAGATTGGATTACTAAAGCTACCCCTGTCTTGTCTCCAAGCAGAGAGCTAGTGCGCTTTCCAAGACACCATGTGTAAATGTCTTGTAAGCTGCGTACAACACATGGTCAAGTAAGAGCACATCAATAGTGGATTGGATTATTATTAACGTAAACCTATAAATGTATATGCAACCCGTTTTTCTCCACCCACTCTTCTCCACCCACTCTCTCCACCTACTCTTCTCCACCTATTCTTTTTTTTCCACCTTCTTTGACTGCACTTTCAACCACGCCTCCAAACCGATACCGCCAAAGACCATGACAACACCTAACCACTGGCCGTAGCCCAAATAGTGGCCAAAGAGCACCACACTGAGGAGCATGCTGAACATTTTACGTGTGACGGTAACGGTCACCAACACCAACGAGTCAAAGCTCTCCAAGGTCATAAAGATAAACACCTGGCCCAAACCTCCGCAGAGTCCGAACAACATGATGTCGTTCAACACAGATGGATGTGTGGCCACGAAATCAGAGGCATAGGCAAGCTGGTTGGTAAAGAGACATGTGTAGAGACCGGTGACGGCAAACGAAATGAGATTCAACCCGGCCATGAGACTGGCTCCAGTGACCAAGCCCTTGTTGTTGGCGAAAACCTGGTCCTGGGTTGAGTTGGTAAACCCATCAAGCAACATCGAACACACAAGTTGTGCCATCCCCAACAACATCTGGCCATCATGGGTGGAATCCTTCAGCTTTCCCGAGCGGCCAGACATGGTGAACGTGATCACGCCAGCAGTCACCAACAAAGCCACCACGTACTTGTACAATGGAAACTTCTTTTGGTACACCACAATGTGGATGAACATCACAGGCAAGAGTTTGCACGATTTGGCGAGCAAAAACGCCAAGTAATCCACGTGCTTAAGACTCTCGTAGCCCACAGGCGACGCAATTGACTGCGTGATGGAAATAAGCACAAAGTGGCCGATAATGAAGGGATTTTTCTGGAAGATAGCCACGGGGCTGGTAGCCCGACCGTTCTTGTACGAAAGATAGACGGTTCCTACCATGCAGGCGAGCACATTTTGTACCAAATTGATGACCAACGGGGCGCGGAAGACTTGGTTATCGCTACCGTACGGTTTGGTGTTGATCTTTTCTTGCAACAAGGACCACGAGATGAAGGCAGCATAGATTCCGCCCACACAGACTGCCAAGATCGCCAATGAGCCCTTCTGTTTTGTCATGATGTCGAGATAAATTAATATATGCCCCAGGGTTCAGATCAATGAGAGGAAACCAGATGAAGTGACACCTATCACAAAAGCGTTGTGATATCCAGATTTGTGCAGGACAGGTGGCTGAAAATTCTGGCGCATCTCTCGGATAAGGGACTGTTCTTGCTTCATATCCCCCAAATGGTGCTTCCGATTATTATTGGTACCGTGGGTGCCACACTAGCATATTTCTCTGTCAAAGCAACCTTTCGTGCCGTCAAGGTGTATCGAACCCTCACGCCCGCGATGTTTGCCTCCTTGAACAACATTCGCCTCCACAACTCTACCGGCTCTCACACTCACAAAGCGATTCACGATGAAATGTTTAAACAGTTCCCCGGAGGATTCGACCGACACATGACTGAAACTGAAGCGTTTCTCATTCTTGGGATCACCGAGTCGGAGATCCTCACCTTGAACGAGAAGTTTCTCAGTCAGAGACACAGAAAGTGTATGATGCTCAACCATCCAGATCGAGGCGGCAGTCCACTATTGGCACAGAAAATTAATGAGGCTAAGGATGTCTTGGACAAGAGCTATCTCCTCAAGAGACGATAGGGCGGATGGGTGAAGGAAACGGGCCCCATAGCATGCCCGGTCATTTTCTCAAAGGAACAAAGTGCCAGCAGAGTCAAGCGCCTGATTATACGTATAGAGGCAAAACACCTGTATATATATATACGTTAATATCTATTTTTCACGCTGGGGTTCACTGGTTCTGGAGCTTTCCAACATGCCATAAATACCGGTGAGTATGCCCGGTGAATATAAAACCTTCAAGCATTTATTTTTTTCCACGATGGAAGCGAAGATTTTATCCGACTATGAATGTTGCCCATAATAGAGGTACTAGCAAAGTCACCTTATCATTTAGTAAAGATTCCACGACAATTTAATCCATATAAACGTCATCAACTAATTACTACTGCCCATCTTTTAACACTCCCACTACTCCCCACGTCACATGCTTCCCGATGCGGCAGTCAAGCCCCAACCCGAAGCCCGTGCGGTCGAATATGCGGGGCAGTCTCTCGTCGTTCTATTTCTTCCTCCCCATGTTACTTTCTCAGTATATATACATATATTTTTACAAAACATCAATCTTTGACACATGCCCGGAATTGTTTCTACTCCGCCACCACAGCTAATCCGAGCCACTTTTGTAACCGATGGTGGCGCTCATGATGAGGTGGAGTTCTCGTCCGATTTGCACGATGCCGTGTTTCAAAGCGCGCCCGCGCCTTTTTACGCCGCGATCAAGCTTCTCGGCTCCTCCAACACGGATATTGATCTCTTTCAGACCTTCAAAACGTTTAAAGTCGGCTTCAACGGGTTTTTGCCGCCGCGCACCGTCCAGTTTCGCAACAACTTGACAATTGCACGTTTCTGCGCGGACCAGTGCACCGTTGATTCTGCATTGGTCCTTTCGGTTGAAAAGCCATTACCACTCTCAAGCATCATTGTCTCGACCCCCGAAGACGTTTATGATATCCTTGCGGCACGGGAGAGCCGGGAGAGTGTTGTGCGCGGCTACCTCGGACTCGATGCGCGTGTCGTCGGCACGGGCCACTTCATTCGTGAGCTCAGTTCTGAGGTGGTCATGTGCGACCCCATCGGTGCGGGAATTATAACCGAAACCACTGAGATTACCATAGTGAAGCAGCGAGAATTGCATTATGATAATCCGTCGGAAGATTCGGAGGGCTGGGAGGCTGATGTCAGCGGCGCTAGTGACTTTAGCGACTTGAGCATTTCATCGTACCTTTCACTCGCCCCGCACACAATTGCGACGGGTTCTGCCGCGCGGACATGTGCGGAGTTCCACGTCGGGTTGCTTCACACCCCTGTGGAGACCGATTTCACCGACGACCCCGAGTTTTGCGGGTTTGTAAACGTCGAAGACCTCGGCGCCATCGGCTGCTTCAGTGGTGATGTGATCCAGTTCAAAATTGGTGAAGAGGTTAAATTCATGCGCATTCGCGCGTTGGTGGAGCCGGTCCACCGCGCTTACCGTACCCAAAAGACCATTTACATTTCACCCATTTGGTTCTACAACCTCGGAAAGCCAGAACTCTTTTCCGTTGGCTCTGCCACCTCCGAAGCATTGCCCGTTGCCAAGAGCATCACCCTCGCCAGGGTGGCCTCTCCCGTCACGTTGGACAAGGCGTATCAACAGAGCTTTCTCTCTGAGCTCAAGTCTTACTTCGAAAAGAGCTTGAAGGTGGTTTCCAACGGTGATATGGTTCCGATTCCAATCGATACTCTTCTCGCAAAGACGATGTTTGAGTCTACCCCGGTGGTTGTCCCATCGGGCGTGCCCGACGCCATCGCATGGTTCCAGGTGACCGACGTGGATGGGTCGCATGCGCGTGCGCAGGTGACCGTTGACCCTGCGCGCACAAAGATGATCCAGAGCGGCACGACGGTTACAAAGTTGCCGGATAACGAGTCCACGCACTTTTACGAGTATTTGAACATGCCCAGACGGTTTAACTTCAACGGCTGCTTGTCCCAGTGCTTCCCGATCAAGAAATTTGGCTTTGCACGCGAGTTTAAGAAGATATTGCAGACTACGTTCAATGTGCGCATCAACATGAAGACGAGCATCATCCTCAGTAGCTCCACACGGGGCCTTGGGAAGTCATTGATGGTGCACAATATGGCGCTGGAACTTGGGGCAAACCTTCTTGAGATCGAGTGCTACGATGTGTTGAATGTGGGGAACGATGCCAAGACATTGGGTACCTTGCGCGGCAAGATCGACAGGATTCTCAGCGAGTGTTTGGCCGAGGCCGGAGAGACCCAGCCGGGAATCATCATCTACTTGAAGCATTTGGAGGCGCTTTGCAAGAAGACCGACCAACAGGCGGCCCAGAAGGACTCGTTGTCGTTGAAGGTCTGGGAGACGTTTGAAGAGTGGCTCGAGAGTCTGAACGTGGCGGTGGTGGCGAGTGTGAACGATATGGACAAGTTGAGCGATGTGGTGCGGAACAAGATGAAGTTCCAGGTGGAGCTCGGAGTGCCGAGTGAAGCCGAGAGAATGGATGTGATCAAGTTTCTCTTGGAGCCGGGTGTGCTCAAGGGTGCGGAGGTTGAGAGGCTCATGCGTGCGCGTTCGGCGCAGACTCCGCTTAAGCCCGCATCGCGCGCGTCGTTCGTGTACTCCAAGCGCATTGACGTAAGCTTCCAGGCGTTGGCGCTCCAGTCGGCCGGGTTGACACCGCGAGACCTCATTTCCATTGTGGATAACACCAAGTCATTGGCCCTTGCCCGCTTTTATGCGCTTGCCCAGGCTGGGAACACCTCCATCGCGGCCGTTGTCCTTGCAAACGGAGGATTTGTGACTCTCGCGCCGGTTGACTTTGAGGCGGCGATTAACGACGCGCGCAACAAGTTTTCCGACTCCATCGGCGCTCCACGGATTCCTAATGTCAAGTGGGAAGACATTGGCGGTTTGGACTTAGTCAAGGACGAGATTCTCGACACCATTGACATGCCGTTGAAGCACCCGGAGTTATTCGCGAACGGGATCAAGAAACGCAGTGGGATCTTGTTCTACGGACCACCGGGGACGGGTAAGACCTTGCTTGCAAAGGCGATTGCTACCAACTTCTCGTTAAACTTTTTTTCGGTGAAGGGTCCGGAGTTGTTGAACATGTACATCGGTGAATCGGAGGCGAACGTGCGGAGAGTCTTCCAGCGGGCCAGGGATGCCAAGCCGTGTGTAGTGTTCTTTGACGAGTTGGACTCCGTGGCACCTAAGAGAGGCAACCAGGGCGATTCTGGTGGCGTGATGGACAGAATCGTGTCCCAGCTCTTGGCCGAGCTTGACGGTATGAGCGGAGGTGACGGTGGCGACGGTGTGTTCGTCGTAGGGGCCACCAACAGACCGGATTTGTTGGACGAGGCGTTGTTGCGTCCCGGCAGGTTCGACAAGATGTTGTATTTGGGGATCAGTGATACACACGAGAAGCAGCAGAAGATCCTCGAGGCGTTGACACGGAAGTTTCCCTTGGATCCTAAGGTGGACTTGGAGCGAATCGCCCAGGGCTGTCCGTACACGTTCACCGGCGCGGACTTCTATGCCTTGTGTTCCGATTCGATGTTGAACGCGATGACCCGGACGGCCAACCAGGTCGATACGAAGATCACAGAGATGAACAAGGGGAGAGCCCCGGAAGATGCTGTTTCGACAAGGTGGTGGTTTGACAATGTGGCTAAATCGGAGGATGTGGATGTATTGGTCAGCGAGCAGGACTTTACCAAAGCCAGGGGGGAGTTGATCCCGAGTGTGTCTGCCGAGGAGTTGGAGCATTATTTGAGGGTAAGACAGAACTTTGAGGGGATTAAGGAGAAGGCAAAGCCTTGAGAAAGGAAGTGAAGAAGCGAAGCCTGTTAAGGCAAGACTTGTATATTGAGCTTGTTAAACATGTAAGCGGAGCAAAATCGGTTAGGTTAATATTTTGGTTCTAATAGATTTGTTCAATTATGACGTGGAAATGAGCATGGTCTGAAAGGCGAACGTGGTATTTAACTAAGTTTGAATTACAAAGTGGATAAGCGGTTCTCCAAGGGAGAACAAGGGTAGAGCATACAGTAGAGTCGATTTTGCAATAGTATAATACAGAGCTAAATCTTATTATAGCTTAGACCGGTTTGGTTGAAGCTCATATTCGACTAGTTTGGAATTGGGGCTCTGACCCGTGTCGAATTGAAGGCAAGACTTTTGCTAAATATTCAGTAAGCTATTGAATAGTTGAGGTAAGGTTGGAGTCAGCTATGACGATGAATTTCAGAATAATGTGAATCTTGCATGAATTTAAAATACACATGAAATATCTAAACCCACGTCATTTATGCGGAGATGCGTTTTTCTCCGACTTCAAAGTTCTGACATTGTTTCTATTTTTCGCTTCCAACTTCAGTAACGGATGTTTTAGAGATTGTGCAGTTATGCCAAGCCAAATATGCACATATGGCAACATCCTAAGAATGTCTGATTACTAATTAACCCTTTAAATCTCAATAATCTCATTGCGAGTTTTATCCATTACTAAGCGTCAACATATACTATAAAAGCTCGAAATAATTTTCTTTAATCCAAATGTAGTTCAATAATCATTGACAACCATATCTGTCTCTCCCACAATGACTGTCCAACCTTTAGCTGACACCAACCTCTTCAAGCCGATCCAGGTGGGTCGCTACCAACTCCAGCACCGTGTTGTCTTGGCTCCATTGACCAGATACAGAAACGATACCGACCAAGCGCCTACTGAGCTTGCGGTTGAGTATTACAGCCAGAGATCTTCCAAGGCCGGGACCTTGTTAATCACAGAAGCTACATTCATCTCCGCTGCTGCCGGTGGCTATGACTTAGCTCCAGGTATATGGTCCGGGAAGCAAATCACCCAGTGGAACAGGGTGTTTAATAAGGTGCACGAAAACAAGTCCTTTATTTTTGTCCAGCTTTGGCACTTGGGCAGAGCTTCGAAACCTGATGCGTTGAAAGCCCGTGGCTTGCCATACGTTTCCTCTTCCGCCAATTACATCACGGATGAAGACAAACAACTTGCAAAAAAGGTTGGTAATGAACTCAGATCCTTGACTATTGACGAGATCAAGCAAACCGTCAAGAATTACGCACAAGCCGCCGCCAACGCCATCAAGGCTGGAGCTGACGGTGTGGAGATTCACGGTGCCAACGGCTATTTACCGGATCAGTTTATCCAGGCTGTCTCTAATAAGAGAGCTGATCAGTACGGTGGTAGTGTGGAAAATCGTGTCCGGTTTGTGTTGGAAATTGTGGATGCGGTTGTGGCCGAGGTCGGTGCCGACCGGACTGGTATTAGATTTTCACCGTGGGGTACGTTCGGGGGCATGGGTGGGGCCGAGTACAACCCAGAGGAACCGTTTGGGTACCTTTTGGAGCAACTTGAAAAGAGAGCGCAGGAAGGTAGAAGGTTGGCATACGTTCACTTACATGAGCCAAGAACCGGTGCCTTGTTTTCGGCCCATGAATCCGTTGCCGGTGACAATTCTTTTGCGTACAAGAAGTGGTCTGGTACGGTTATCAGAGCTGGTGCCTATCATACCGACTACAATATTACCAAGAAGGATGTCAACCAGAATGACCGAACCTTGGTTGCCTTTGGTAGAACCTTTATTGCCAACCCTGATTTGCCAGAAAGATTGGAAAAGGGGTGGGAGTTGAACAAATACAACAGAGACGATTTTTATGGTATTGGGGCAAAGGGCTACATCGACTATCCATTCCACAAGTAGCCCGATCTGAAGGCTTGCAAGTATACATTTATAGACTAAAATATTGATTTATCATACCTCCTCGGTGTATGGCGGAAGTTTTGTACTTCCCTATATAAGCGAAGCACGTAAGAATTGCAGGACCAGTCTTTTTTAGCTCCGCTTGACTTCCGGTTTGTAACTGACGCCAGGGAGCTTTTCAGTGCTCATCATAACTTATCTAACCCGTCAGGTATAAGCCAAAGCCTCTGCGAAGAGATGTGATACCTACAAATCGCCTACAACCCGGGCATTGCCATTTCCACGCAGTTCTGCCGGAGCCTGCAAATACCTCCACGACATTGTCAATGTTGTGGAGAGTGCCTATATACAGGAACCTATGCATCGGGAGCGAATTGTGAGCGCCAAGAACCCCTTTGAACCTTGCTAAACACACAAAGTCAAAGACGGAAAATCGAGGAAAAACAGATGGTGTGAAAGAAATTAAAGTTTGAAAAATGGCCTGGATGAAGTTAGTTTGAATCTATAAACTAGCTAGAATGGGGTTACATGCAGGATACAAGTCAGCGCTCTTCCTTACGTCAGGATATCCCCGGCTAAATGTGACGAGCATTAATCATTGCTACATCCTTCAGTCTGCTCCTAACTAGTCTCGTGTTTCTTGGACCCACTTGTTTTCTTTTTGCCGGACGAACCTTCTTTCTCTAAGCTGCAAAAACCCAAGTCGTTCCGCGTGGCCAGACCCCCACGTGATCGGATCGAATCGAAATTTCCAGAACCATTAAAATAATTACCCGGCTGTCCTGTACACACGCCTTTCCACATGGAAGCGCATGGAAATTTCCACCTGGGCCGGCCTCGTGGACGTCGCATCTTGCGGGCGTCTATATAAGCAAAGCATTCCTTTTACTTCCCCCCTTTTAGCTCGCTTTTCTTCCCCACTTTTAATTAATTACACACAATGTCTGACGTTAAGACCGAATCCTACGAATTTCAAGCTGAGATCACTCAGTTGATGTCCTTGATCATCAACACCGTGTACTCTAACAAGGAAATTTTCCTCCGTGAGTTGATCTCCAACGCCTCTGATGCCATCGACAAGATTAGATACGAGGCCCTTGCCGACCCGGCCAAGATGGAGTCCGAACCTGAATTGTTCATCAGAATCACCCCTAAGCCAGAGGAAAAGGTTTTGGAAATCAGAGATACCGGTATCGGTATGACCAAGTCAGACTTGGTCAACAACTTGGGGACTATCGCCAAGTCTGGTACCAAGGCCTTCATGGAGGCCTTGTCCGCTGGTGCCGACGTGTCCATGATTGGTCAGTTCGGTGTTGGTTTCTACTCCCTTTTTTTGGTTGCCGACCACGTCCAGGTCATCTCCAAGCACAACGACGACGAACAGTACATCTGGGAGTCCAACGCCGGTGGTAAGTTCACCGTCACTCTCGACGAAACCAACGAGAAGATTGGCCGTGGTACCGTCTTGCGTTTGTTCTTGAAGGAAGACCAGTTGGAATACCTTGAGGAAAAGAGAATCAAGGAGGTTGTCAAGCGTCACTCCGAGTTCGTTGCCTACCCAATCCAGTTGGTTGTGACCAAGGATGTTGAAAAGGAGGTTGACGTCGAGGAGGAGGCCTCCGACGATAAGGCTCCAAAGTTGGAGGAAGTCGACGATGAGACCGATGCCAAGAAGACCAAGACCGTCACCGAGCAGGTCACCGAAACCGAAGAGTTGAACAAGACCAAGCCTTTATGGACCAGAAACCCATCTGAGGTCACCCCAGATGAGTACAATGCTTTCTACAAGTCCATTTCTAACGACTGGGAAGACCCATTGGCCGTCAAGCACTTCTCCGTCGAAGGTCAGTTGGAATTCAAGGCCATTCTTTTCGTTCCAAAGAGAGCTCCATTCGACTTGTTTGAGTCCAAGAAGAAGAAGCAGAACATCAAGTTGTACGTTAGAAGAGTTTTCATCACCGACGAAGCTGAGGACTTGATCCCAGAATGGTTGTCTTTTGTCAGAGGTGTCGTCGACTCCGAGGACTTGCCGTTGAATTTGTCCCGTGAGTTGTTGCAACAGAACAAGATCTTGAAGGTCATCAAGAAGAACATTGTCAAGAAGTTGATTGAGACCTTTAACGAGATTGCCGAAGACCAGGAGCAGTTTGAAAAGTTCTACACCGCTTTCGGCAAGAACTTGAAGCTCGGTGTTCACGAGGACCAGCAGAACAGAGCCGCGTTGGCCAAGTTGTTGAGATACAACTCCACCAAGTCTGCTGAGGAACTCACCTCCTTGACCGACTACGTCACCAGAATGCCAGAGCACCAGAAGAACATCTACTACATCACCGGTGAGTCCTTGAAGGCTGTTGAAAAGTCGCCATTCTTGGACGCTTTGAAGGCCAAGAACTTTGAGGTTCTCTTCATGGTTGACCCAATTGACGAGTACGCCATGACCCAGTTAAAGGAGTTTGAAGACAAGAAGTTGGTCGACATCACCAAGGACTTTGAATTGGAAGAAACCGAAGAAGAAAAGACTGAGAGAGAGTTGGAAATCGCTGAATTCGAACCATTGACCAAGGCCTTGAAGGAGATCTTGGGTGAGCAGGTCGAAAAGGTTGTTGTCTCTCACAAGTTGGTCGACGCCCCAGCCGCCATCAGAACCGGCCAGTTTGGTTGGTCCGCCAACATGGAGAGAATCATGAAGGCCCAGGCCTTGAGAGACACCTCCATGTCCTCTTACATGTCTTCCAAGAAGACTTTCGAAATCTCTCCAAAGTCCTCTATCATCAAGGAGTTGAGAAAGAAGGTCGAAACCGACGGTGCCGAAGACAGAACCGTCAAGGACTTGACCAACTTGTTGTACGAGACCGCCTTGTTGACCTCCGGTTTCACCTTGGACGAGCCAAACTCCTTCGCTGCCAGAATTAACAGATTGATCTCTCTTGGGTTAAACATTGACGAGGAAGAGGTTGAGGAAGCTGCCAACGTCGAGGAGGTTACCGAAGACGCCGTTGCCGAATCTGCCATGGAAGAAGTTGATTAAGCGGCTTGCCCCTCTAATTCTGTATAATGCTAATTGAATTCTATTACGTATTTGTTGTGTAAAATATCAAGCGTAGGTTTGGATGTCTCTGGAGGCAACAGTTCTAGCCTGCTAGTTAGATAATTGCTATATATGGGATCGGCAGGCTTATTATAAGCCTTGACTGTGATCAGAGATCTCTATGCCCCCCCATATATCATAATAATTAACTAGGTTTATACTACAGAAATATATGATCAATACATCTGATATTTGATATTCTCGAAAATACATCAAAGTGCTCACAGCGCCTGGTTCTAAATATAGAAGTCGTGCCCCGCCCATCCATTCTATTCTGCAACATGATCGCACCCATCAGATCTATTTAACTCACCTCTTGTTTCTATCACCCCTCCTCCCTTCTCTTCCATCCCTCAATTCCTTCGCAATGTCCGATTACAGCTTGTTATCAAACCACCCAAAACCAGACTTTACCTTCACCTACGGGACGGCAGGGTTCAGAATGTTGGCATCGCGTCTCGATTATGTCGTCTACACCGTGGGCATTCTCGCCGCCTTGCGGAGCAAATACTTGAATGGTGCCTCTGTTGGGGTCATGATCACGGCATCGCATAACCCGCCGCCAGATAACGGGATCAAAATGGTCGATCCGACAGGCGACATGCTCGAGCAATCGTGGGAGAAGTACGCGACTGAATTGGCCAACGCGTCGCACACCGAGTTACCACAAACGGTTGCCGACTTGGTTAAGACCTTGTCAATCGATTTAAGCATCCCCGCATCTGTGGTTATTGCCAGAGACTCCAGAGACTCTGGCCCTGCGCTTCTCCAGTCCACAAAGGACGGGATCTCCGTCTTCAGCGGGGAGATTGCGGATTTCGGCTTACTAACCACCCCGCAGTTGCACTACTTGACCAGATGTTTCAATGACAAGGCGTTTGGGACCCCTACCGAGCAGGGTTATTTTGAAAAGGTTGCTGCGTCGTACCAGGCTATCTACCAGCTTTATGGCTTCACCTCCAAGCGCGCTATTACCATTGACGCCGCCAACGGTATTGGTGGCCCAAAGATCACGGACAGCTTGGCGTCGCTACTTGCGAATGAGATTGAGTTCACCGTTGTTAACAACGAGTTCACCACCCCGGAAGCGTTGAACTTTTCCTGCGGTGCCGACTTTGTCAAAACCGGTCAGAAGTTGCCTGCAAACGTCCAGCCATCGCCTAACACGTTGTACGCGTCTTTTGATGGAGATGCCGACCGTGTGGTGTGTTACTACGTCAACGGTATCGGCCAGTTCAGACTCTTGGACGGTGACAAGATCGCCACGTTGCTTGCCAAGTTTATGCAGGAAACCTTGGCCCAGACCTCGCTCGACATCACCATTGGAGTCGTGCAAACGGCCTACGCCAACGGCTCGTCTACTGACTACGCTACTCAGAAGTTAAGCTTGCCAATGGCGTGCACTGCCACCGGTGTCAAGCACTTGCACCATGCCGCGAAGGAGTTTGACATTGGTATCTACTTCGAAGCAAACGGCCACGGTACCGTGCTCTATAGCCCAGAGACTATCGAAAAGTTGACACTGTTCGCTTCCCAGAACGCAGAGGAGACTAAGCTTGTTCTGACATTGTTGCACTTGTCGGACTTGATCAACCAGACCGTGGGAGATGCCATTGGTGATTTACTCGCGATCGTAATTTTGTGTCAGATCATGGACAAGTCACCGGAGCAGTGGGACAACGAGTACACCGACTTGCCAAACGCATTGGACAAGTTGTTGGTTTCTGACAGGTCGTTGTTCACCACGACCGATGCCGAGAGAAAGTTGGTAACCCCGGCTGGGTTGCAGGGCAAAATTGAGGCGGTGTACACGAAGTATCCGCGCGGTAGAAGTTTCGTGCGTGCCTCTGGGACCGAAGACGCCGTGAGGGTGTATGTAGAGGCAGAGAAGGCCGGAGATGTGGCCTCTATTATGGAGGAGGTGAAGAAGGCTGTGCTTGAAGCGTCCAAGTAGGGTGAGTTCTGGCGAGGTCGAACTGGCAAGCTCGAGTTTGATATATAGAATGGTTTACATTGAGAAATACGTGTAAGTGAAGGGCAAAAGAACCTCCACCAATACGAGAAGTATTCCTGTTTGAATCGATCCTTTCTAATCAGCTGGCGTTTTCCTGGAGTATCCATGGTATTCTCAATAATTGAAATGTGTGTAGCTTCATAAGCGGTCCCCGTATGTTTACGAGTTCTATACAAAATTGAGGATTGGGTAATTCCCAACCTCACCCTTTCCGGCTACGAAAATATTTGACACATTATATACACATGGTTTAGGACTATATACACACCATTCCTCTACCAAAACTTCCATCTGGCCTTTTTTTCCGAGGGAGCCTCCTGGTACACCAGTTGCTCCAATTGTCTGATCTGGGCCTCGATGGCGTTCCCATCCATCTCACGCATTTTCTGCTCCTCAGCGGCCTGCAAGGTGGTTTGCGCCTGCAAGAAGTGCCCAGTAGTCGGTCTCTGCATCACATATTCGCTTTCTACCGCGAGGGAATTATCTAAATTAGTGGGTTTGGCACCTCTGGCAGCTTTAGAGCCCTCGCTGATCTTGCGCGGCGCCTCCAAGTCCTTCAATTGCTCTTCGGACAAGTACCCAAACATCTGCTGTCTGAAGCGTAACCCGGCTCTGTAGAAGTCACTGAACACATGCTCATACCCTCCGTCGTTCCATCTGGAAAAGAGCGACACGGTTAACCCAAAGAAACAGAGCCCGTACGCAGCGTACTTGATCCCGCGGTTGAAATTGTAGTATGTATTGATCCTTCTCAAGACTTTGTACTGTCCAGGATACAACTCCGAGCGCGGTCTTGGCGTGTAGTTCAACTTTTTCATCGTCTCGCGTACCTTTTTGTACTCGGACGCGTTTTGCGGTACCGACTGCCAGTTCACCTTCTTACCCGGTGTGGCAAACTCCGAGGGATACCCGCCCGGCGGTCTGACATCTGTGGGGTCGTATGGGTTGTATGGGGCCTTGGGTGGCACCCAACCTGGGGGATTTGGTCTTCTTTCAACTTCAACCATGGTGTGTATCGGGAGTAGGTTACGGTGATAGTAATTAAACTTGAACCTTTCATAGACTGCAGGAAAAATACCCCGGTGGAGACACGAAAAATGAAGTTACCAGGCGGGAAGAAGGCTTGACGCCTGTTAGTGGCAATTTCCAATACTTGTATACAGATATATTATAAGTTTATATTTTTAATCTATTGCCAATAGTTAAAACTTTAAGTTCTTTTAATAATAGAAGAATTTATACCCAGGAGAAGCTGCAACCTTGCACGTGGCTGTATGGGTTTGAGACCGTGGCCAGTGCTCACGCCGGAGCGCTTTGAAGTAGCAATTGATGCCTTGAAATCTCTAATTCTTATGAGTGAGCGCTATCGAATAATAGAAAACGAGAATTGAGAGATCTTATATATACTTTTGATTTTCATCAGACTGCCAGCCCTTGTCCTGACAGTTTACTGCAACCCGGTTTTGTACTTTAAGTGGCCATACAACCCATGGTACGCAACGAGGGTCTTCAGCTTGATTCCTTCCCTCTACTACGCCATAGACTAACGTTGAAATCATTTGTTCCTCTAGATATCTATTTTCTCACAGTGGTGCTCTATCCACAGAAGTGCAATTTACTTTTGGCATGAATCTAACGGAAACGCAATCTCTTCGAGACTAGATCCATACCGGCATGGAAATACGCATTTTAATCCATCCCCTAACACACAGTGCCTTCCCATTTCGTCCCCTCTCCTCTCGGTCTACACTCCTTTATTTACTCTTATTATTTCTATAATACAACGGCTCAGCCAAACATGCCAAACAAACCGCGCTTCTTATCTTCCTTAGCGCTACTCGATTTCTTGGACATGGCCGGGGCACCAGTCTGCTCGCGTGCGACGTAGTTGTACGCCATGTCATACAAAACCGGCTTGTAGGCCACCGGAACCACCAAGGAGGCACCGTTGAGCGGACCGATAGAAATGTGCTGCAAGATCTCTGCCGCAGAACCGCCTGGGTATTTGTTGATGTTATCCGCAATCAAGGCATTCTCGGAGGAACCTTGGGAGGCCAAGTCGGCCAATACATGGCTGGTAGACCGCAACTCCACTAAAGTCGTGCGCAACTCCGATCCGAGACGGACATTGGTCAACGGCTCCCAGAGATTGAGTGGGAAAGCGTGCGGAGTCAACAACAGAACACCCTCTTGGGCCAATAACAACGCCTGGGGGAACTCCTGGCCTTGGAAATACGAACGGGCCAAAATCTCCGCCTTATCCGCCTTGACATACGCCGAAATCGCCTGGAACGTGCCCTCCAATTCGTCATCGTTGTACACACCGGCCAACTCCAAGACCTCCCCGACGGTGGAGATGATGTTGTTGTAGACACTAATGATGTTTTTGTGGATAGCCACGGTCGCGGATGCGGAGTTGTCCGCCAGAAGACGCAGCTTTAACTCCACGCTGATGGCGTGGTCACGATACACACGGGTGCTTAAGACTTGGAAGGTGAAGTAAGCTTTTAAGATCTCAAACGTCTGGTCGTTCTCCTCAAACTGGTCACGTTGCGCCATGTGCGACTCGAGAACCTCGGTCCACGCGGTCAACGCCGGGTCGTACGATGCGAGGTCGTGCACGACGATACCCTGCGCGTGTGCACGTGCGTTTTGGATGAGGCGCGAGATCTCCGGCGAGTACAACTCCGCGACATACTTTCTCCAGCGGATCTCAGTCACGGTTCCCGCGGCGCGCGCAGATAATGATGCAACAAACGCAGGGTCCTCAGCCTCTATAAGCTCAATTGTTTGCTGTACCAATGGCGTAACGTTGTCGCGGAAGTGCGCGCGCGCGACGGTGTTCAAGTCGAGCGCGTCCTGCTTGCTGGCCGCCGCGAGCTTCAAGTACGGGTCGACGTGGTCCTCAATAATCGATTTGTACAAGAATTCCTCCGCGTTCTCGCGCGATGCGCGGCTCATCAAGTACTGCAATGCGACGCGTGCGACCGACAACGAGTGCACCGCCGTGGAGTGCATCTTGCGGTTCAACAGCAACGCCCCATGGACAACCGCTGTGTACGTGAGAAGGTCGATCTGGGGAAGTCCCGCCGCGCCGGTGAGCTCCGTCAACTGCTCCAACGTTTTGTACGCAACCTTCATCTTGGACGTGATGTTCGCGCGCGACTTGCGTGTGTACGCGTGTTCCAAGCGGATCTCGCTTGCGTGGATGAAGTTACGCTCCGCCGCCCAGAACAAGACATTTGCGTAGTTGCGGTTCTTCTGCACATCCTCCGCACTGATCCGCGCCACCTTCTGCTTGGTCTTGTAGTTTTTGGTGTCGCCGGTGTGAATCTTCAACTGCTTTCTGAGCTTTGCACCGTGGCGCTGCGCTTTTTTACGCTGCTGGTGGAACGTCTCCGTGGAGTCCCTTGACCCCAAAACGTTTAACGGGGATACAATCTCGGACATCTGTGAGGTATGTATAGGAGTGGCAGTGGTGGGTTTGGTCGTGTTCTTTTTATGTCGATGTTGGATTTTTGCGCTTATGTAAGCGAAGATATTTATGTGAGTTGCGTACGACCTGGTGATTGGGGGAAAGTCAAAGTACGGATTAATATATGGGGAACTGTGAATATTAATATTTCACCTAAAAGTCCATGGAGTAGGAGATAAATCCTGGTTTATGAACAATAATATAAATAGCTAGTACTAATATTACTTTACTTTTCCCCCGTCTTCTCTCTTGATTCTTTCCATTATCCGCCCTTTAGAATTGATATATATATTTCCTATCCATTTATATACTACATGTATACAATTATGACATGGCATAATTGGAAATATATTTATGCTTAAATAATATTCTAATACGAGGGAAAAAGCTCGTTAACCATACTGGTAACCTTTTATTGTCGCAAGGCTCAGATAGTCTTGGATGTATATAGAAACCAGTGGATAATGTGTCATCTGTGCGGTCAAAATCCTGAAGGTTTTAATATCATTTGGCAGACACTCTCGAAATCTTTGTGTTTAATTGGGACTGGTAAACAAAACTCTGCCCGATGTACATTAAACAATAATCTAGATATAGTTTATTCAGATATAGCATGGCTTATAATAAAATCCCCCCTGAAAGTGTCAGACCCCGTGAGCTATTTTATTTTTATTCGTGGCTACACTTCGTATGCACTGTCAACTTAATCAAAAACTCTGCTATTACGATCGAGTAGCCACTACCCCTCACCTCAATCAATTTATATACATGTCTACCACAATTGGAGTAAACTATCGTCCTCCTTGTCGTATGTTTCCGCATTTTTCTGGATTGTCCTCTCCTCGAGAGCCGTGCGCTTCGTGGCAGCTTGCACGCGCCGCTTGTCGTACACCTCCTGCAACGTTTTGGTCATATCCGCATCCAAAGCCCATTCCAGCACCAACTGGCGCGGCCCATCTATATCGCGGCTGTTCTTGTCGAATTGCAACTTCATAATAGACTTTAAGAACGATTCGTACATGTTCCGCGCGTTAATGGAGATGTACGCGTCGGTAGCTAAGCTCACACGCGTAGCACACTCCTGGTTCGCACGCACATGGGCGTGTATACGCGGCAACTCTGCGAGAAGGAGGTCGAGCTTGCGGCTCTGCTTCAACATGAGCATGCGTACGCGGAGGAGCTTCAAGTCGGGCTTGTTGTGATTCGCCTCAAATAACGCCCATAATGTCTCCATGGTGTTGAAGCGTCTTTCAAGTATGTGTTGTTGCTGCGCCAAGGGCAAGGCCTTAGTGCTAAAGGAGGTGGTGAGGGCTGCCCACGCGAAGAGCACTTTCCAGAAGTGGAGTGCCTCCTGAGTGGATAAGTCAATAGTGTAGTGCTTCTGGAACTCATTCACGTACTGCATCGCCATCTCGAACTCGTCGTTTTTTGCGAACGCGGACACCACTGCCGCAAGCGTGCTTGCAGAGGGGTAGCTGAGCGCGCGCGCATCCGTGACCAACAGCTTAGGCGCGCCAAAAATTGACTCACCCTCCTCTTCACTCAACCTGAATCCCCAGGTGTTATTGAGATACGTCTGCAAGCGCGCGATATCACCAGCGTTGCCGAAACTGTAGACAAACGCCTCATGGATGCGCGCGTTTGGCGCGAGGCCCAGCCGGTAGAACTCGGCCAAAAGTGTTGACGGCTGTGTTGTGACTTTGGGAAACGCAGCACCGCTAGAAAGGGTGAATTCAACCTTTTTTCCGCGGAACTTCCACAACTCAGGCATGGCGCTGCCCAACGCACGAATCTTCATGTCCCACACGTTCAATGAGAGCGGCACGTTGCGCTTGTGCGCGAGCGCCTCCATGGCCTTTAAGCCAACAGAAACCTTGTGCAACTTCATGTTGGCCATGTCCAAGCGTAAAAAGAGCTCCTGGTCCGCCATGCTAAGCGCGTAGACACTCTTAAAGTGGCCCTTGAGCACAAGGAGGTCCCGGTACAAGCGTCGGCACTGCTCACGGCGCACGAGATTGTCGTTCATGACGTCCTTCAAGCCCTTTGCGCGGTACGCGAGGCGCGCGCACTGCATCTGATACTCCGCGACCGCACCCACGAGGCGCGACACTTCATCACGTGTGAGGAGAGCCCGCAAGCCCGCCTTGTCGTCCGCGTAGAACTGGAACGCCTGCAAGAGGTCCACGGTCAAGGCCTCAAAGTCGTGGTTGTGCAAGTGCGAGAACAACGCCTCGTTTGCCGCGAGCGAGTCCGATCTGTGGAGCGGGATCGAAGTGTGCGCGGGGCAAGCGAGCGGAGCTGCCTGGTACCCTTCCCGGTAGAAGGAAAGGAGAGGGTCGCGCAGAGCCACAGTACTTAGGCAGCGTCTGACGGCAGTGCTCGTGCTTCTCACACAGGATCTGAGCATCGTGGATCAAATGTGGTGGAAAGAGATCTCGGCGATGGAGCTTGAATTTTTCAGAAGAGCTGAAGAATTAAACGTTCGCGCACAATCTCCTGCACCGTGGGGAAGATGAGATGTGCGTAAAAACGTTGAAGCATAAATAGTACAATTGGTATTAAATTAGTATCTGAAAAGGTTGCATGTGAGGATTTCTTCACCTAGAACTAAAATCTTAGTTTACCGTAGATGCTTCAGGCAGCGTTTCACTTACGCAAATAGCTTGGTACTGTAAAAAGCATTTCAGAAACCGACTTACCCCCTCAACTACAACCACGTTTGGGGTTTCTTGTCAGCTAACAGAATTTGATATTAGTCAATGTGTATAAGAAAATGTTATATCCTCTTGTAATATACCATAACCACCCACTACTCTCCATTCACGTTAATTATATCGTCCATACTCTTCTCGCCCAAGTATGCCAGACCCTGCATGGCGATCGTTTGGTTCTCCTCACTCGCAACCGCAGCCGCTACCGCGGCAGCCAAAGCGACTGCGGATGCCTCGTCGTGTGCACTCGTACTCGGATAGTATTCGTCGTCGGACAAGCCTTTCAGCTGCAACTGTGACTCGCGCTCAAACTCTGGATCCGTATCATTCCGATCCTCAGAGTTGTCATTCGCATACAACAACGTCTCTTGCCGCTTCGATTCCTCCTCAATCCAGATATCGCGCGACGCCAAGTCAAACAACGATAAGCCACCCAACGTGTCCTCCATACTGGCGCGGATCTCTTTAGTCCACGTGGTTTGCTGCTCGGCGTGCGCCAATGCGGACCACGACTCATATGCATAGTTAAGCTTGTGGAAGTATTCGGTGAGCAAATCGTTGTTGTTGCTGCCAGTGGCGGTTTTCGCAGTCGCGGCTGAGCCGTGGCCCGTAGGCGAGAGCAAGTTGGTCAAGTGCTTGAATGTGTCCAGGTTTGGCAATTCCGGCGGCCACTGGGACGGCGGGAGAAAGTACACGACAAAGCGCGCAAAAGTGGGGTTTATGCTAAACGTGGGGTTTCCCAACCTGTTCAAAAAGATTTTCTGCGAAATGTTCCGCGCCCGGTTCGACCGGTCCTTTAGCCGTCTTCGAACCCGGTTCCGCTCACGCACATCCTGCCGCGAATTGTACTCCTTTGTACGGAGTCGCCGTCTGTTCTGGATCTCCACCTTGTCGCCCCTACGTTTTACGTTTCCGCGCAACCGCTCAATCTCGTCCGCGGGGTGTAATCTGGTTCCTTTCTTGAGGTCCATATGGCGTCCGAGGGAGCCGGGATGGGAGAACGTTCGGCCGCAGAACGGACACATCTTTTTTGGGTCCACCCCCGGTGGGAGGTCTCGTGTGAGACCCATCACGGTCTCACCCTTGAGGTGTGGTTCGGCATTTTCCGATGGAGCGATTTTGGCGATTTTCGGTAAGCTGTGAAGCTCGGTGTAGCCGTAGTTCCCAGAGGTTTCGCCAATAGTGGGGTCGATTGCCACGTGGTATTCATCGTGGTGGTTGTTGAGTGAGTCGAGATCGACCGCCAAGGCAGAGTTGACCGCGTTCACAACGTTCTGGACATCGATGTTGGGGATGTTCTGGAAATAGTTGTTCATAGTGGACTGGTGCGAGTAGGTCGCCTGCGGTGAGGCAATCCCATTATCACGGTCTTCGTTCATTTATGAAGGGGGGGTATAGATTGGAACCTTGTACGAGAGGATGTTGAAAAATTCCGTTGGGGTACCACAAGTGCAATGTGACAAATCTTCCTAACTCCAACAACCGTCGGGTGTGTTATGCTTGGAAATAGTTGACAGCGGATGTGCAGGAGGCGAAAATTTGAGAGGGGTCATATAGATCACGTGATGGCCAGGTCGCTAGAGGACCAACAGTTTGATTGGTGGAGCCAAAACCTATTGGTGTAGAGCTTTCCATACTTTGACATAGCATGCCTTTTGTAAAGCTGACAACCTCTGACTCGAGATAAAATCCCTTGGATGCTTCTAGTTGTGAAGTGCCTTAGTACGCGGCTCCATGGGCGTTTACGCTGTTATGGCTTGATAAACCAGGATAGAATAGCTAGCAGTAACAAACAGGCGGACGCACCGATCGAAAATATTCAACCTATCCGTATGAGAGTAAAAAAGGACAATTGAGATGTAAAGGAAACAGCTGGAATGTCTGATGTTCTTTCTCACCACACAAAACGGCCAGAACAGCTGCGACTAGGGCACTTACTGAGTAGAACTATTTCTGAGCGAGCAATCTGAACAGATTAGCCAAAAAAAGATGTCAACGACCCGTAAATACCACTTTCGTAGAACCAATAGAGGGTAGCCCAAGTGTGCCAGCGTTCTTGGACAAGCGCTAATGCCTTATACAAATTGCACCGCAACCACTTTCATATTGTCTATCGCTATATTCTATACAATTTTAACAGTAAACAGAAATAATAAAAACCTAGAGAGAGCTCTCGTTCTTGGCCCTGGTCCCCTTGACAAGAATCGGCATCATGCCTCCGGTACAGATGGCAAACTTTCTATGTGCTAATGCCAACACAAAGGCCCTGATAGTTCCGGAGTGAGACGTCACACTGACGTAAGTATCCTGCTCTGTCTTGCCAAAGTCCTTTTCATACAAAAACTGCAAGAAACGGTTGATTCTTAAGCCATGCATATGCAATTTTTCTCTGTCGTCGCTGTACAACTCATCCTCCTCGGTAAACCCCTCTTCGATCTCAAACCCGTATCGGGTGAATCTCTCTTCTGTGACAGATCTCAAATTTCTTTTATCACACGTGTGACCACCGATGGTTTCTCTGATGTCTTCTTTAACAAACACTGGATGAGGGTCTTTGGATTCGGTGAGCGAAAGATCCAACCACGTGTACACGGCAGTCTGGCACGATCTGGTGAACGGAGACGAGTAGTACGCAACTGGTAAGGGAGCCCCCTTGGCCAACTGTTGCTTCCACCCACGGTTGTTTTCCTTGGCTTGGCTTTTGCCTAATTCGGTCAAAAGCGGATCAGGGCCCCAAACAATCTCTCCGTCGCCGTTGAGATGAGACCAGTAATCGTCCCAGGCCTTCATCCCATACTTTTCGACAGCAAAGTTGTGCCACCCCTGACCGTGTCTGGCCAAAAACAAAAGCTTGTAGACCTCAGTGTCGGGGGTAGAGGCGTTTAGGTTCGCAACTTCCGCTTGTAAGGCAGCCCAGGATGGCTTGGCCAAACCAAAGTCTTCGGCAAGCAAGTCGAAGTTTGTGTCGTCGGTGCTTTCGTCGTCTTGCTTGAAGAAGCCTGGGACACACTCAAACGTCCATTTTCTCTGGTCAGCTGGCAACTTCGCGAGGTGTTCTCTGTAGAGGACCTCCTCCTCCACGCCGCCTTTGTGCGCGTCGAATACGTCGACCGGGTTGTTGACAAGAAGGGACATTGTAACGGATGCGTAAGTGAGTGGAATGAGATGAACGTGCGAGAGAGATAGGATAGGTGCTGGGGGGTTACGTGGGCATTTTCAGTGACGTGAAAAAGTACATATCGCACCCCACTACGCGCGCCGAGATGATTCTCGAATTGGCCAGTTCGGCGAAACCACGCACATCAGGGGAACCATGTGACACGTGGGGGGTACAAATGAAGTTATGAGGGCTAAATCAAACGGAAAATTACACAACTGTATATTGCTTAAACGACTTAAACCAAGATATAGTTTAAAATACCAGTATACTAACCTAGCAGTCTTTGGCCAAGGAGCGTACACCGTACGTCTCCGCGTTCACCTTTGTAATGCTGGCGCCAGCCCTTATATATTAACGGTTAGTTTGTCCAGGTGAATATATCTAGAAAAATAGCCAGCTTAACAGATTACTATTATCCAACGGTGGTTAATTCTAGCCAAACCTATTTAAGCCAAGCTTGAATAGTCTAAGAATGACCCCAATCGCTGGAACTAACCAGATGATTCCTCGATTGCATTTTTAGTGGAACATGGCTATTCATGCAAGACATGATTCATGATCTGGATGCAGAGATTTGAATCTTTAAGATTAGGACCCTCCCCCCTCTAACTGAATAATGAGGTAATTTAACCACCATTGTCCCAAACGTGGTACTATTCTAACGCTCATTCCCTCTCAGGATATAAGTCTAAACTCCATCATTTAGTAATCCCACTTTTGGATGATCATTGAATTCATAAACGTGCGCTACGGCTATATACAAGTAGGTGTCACAACTCCTGGGTTGTCTAGTCCTGGATCTTGTCAAAGTCAAAATCAAAGGAGGAACCACAGCCACAGCTGCTGCTGATGTACCCGCCCAAGACCTTGAATTGACTGCCAATCAACTCCTTGGTGTAGTCAACCTTCGAGTCGCGCAAGATTTGTAACGAAGACTCATCGATAAGCACCTTCCCCTCGTCTCGGACCAACAACGAGTCTTCCGCCGTCTTTGTACTCAAGTCGGTCAACTTCAATTCATACTGGAACCCGTGACAGCCACCGGACTCCACGAGAATACGAAGACACGTGTCTGGGTTCTTGTCCTCTACCGCGATCTTGGCCAATCTTTCGGCCGCACGCTGGGTGATGCCCAACTTCAACTCTGTTTTTCCGGACGCAGAGTAGAACGGGGTTTCCTGAATTCTGGTCGAGTGGAAATCAGGGTCATTAGCGATTTCAGTAGCCTTATCGCTCAATTCCTGGTTGGATGGGGTGGTGACGTCGCCAACAGGCAAGGTGCTCGCGTAGCGCCGAGAGAAACAAGAACCAAGTGGTTGTTTCGCAAGGACAATTCTCGGAACTACCCGACCCCTGAAAAGAGAGGCAGAGTATGTGGAAATAAGCTTGGACGTTGATCTGACGGAGAGTCTGGACATCATAGAGCGAATGTATAAGTTTGCTCTAGAAGTTTGCTCTAGAAGTTTGCTCTAGAGGTGCTTATTTGGTTAAGGGGAGTGTAATTATGGTTGCACCGGATGTCTAAAATGGTCCAAGGGTGAATTTAATCTTGATAACAAACATCCAGCAGTAATAATGTTTTAGGACACCTTAAGGCTTTTGACTCCGCTTACTAATTTTCTCGGAAGCGCATCGGCTAAGAAGAATGGTGTAGACACGCCACACGCATATCAATTCCCGTATAGATGCCCTTTCGGAGGCAGTTTAATTCCAGCCTCTACACTCCCTTAGCACTGATGTAATTTATTACCCGCATAGACAGCCTAACCTTGGAGAACCCCTTCCAAGATAGCCCCCAAGACGCTCCATTCCAACTCATACTCGAGCCCAAAGAACTTAACCTTGCCGGATTGAAATATCATATAAATGTCGCTAAATCGGGCTTGGGAAATGCCGAGGCCGGAAGTTTGGATCAAACCATTCTCCAGCGGCTGCAACACCCCATCGGTGAAATTAATTGCGGTCTGTGCTTTTAGATGGCTGTAGATATTTGATGTGAACAGGGTCCTCACCTCGCCCGTGGAGGGATCCGGGCTATTTTGTATGAAATGCGCAAAGTCTTGAAGCGGAATATCAAGAGACATACTGGTTAACGAATCGTTACCTGTTAGTCCAGTCTCAGACTTGAACTTCTTTGTTGTATCGAACCCCATTTCCAAGCTTCCTAGCACGAAGGACGCGGAGCGTGTGACGGCCTCGCTCGAAGTTCCTGACACGCTTCTATCGGCAGCGACTCGTAGCGCGGACCGTACAGCATGATCGATGGTTTTGGAAATTAGCCCTGGCGAGATTGTAACCGGTTTGATGACAAAGCTGGCTTGGTAGGTGAGGTACTCTGAGACCAAGTAGTGGATTTTTGGCAGGGCTTTGGACATAATTAGCGCTTTATACACGGTAGACGTGCTTGGATCCCGGATAAATAGAATCTGTTGCGCTCGTGTTAACAACCCTCTGAAGCGGTCATCGAATCCGTCTCTTTTCCGGTCAAGGCGAATGGTCAACACTCCCACCTCAAGTAGGAAGCTGCCGCTACCTGTGGCTAGTTCCTTCTCTCTGACCTTATATGTGATCTGAAGGAACTGATAAACTTCCTCCCACGATAGACTATCGTCTGACCTCGACCGTTGTTCGCCAAGAAACAAAGAGGGTTGTGGAATGGGGGGGCTTGTGACCAAGAATTTCGCTACTGCAACAGCGATGGCCAGGAGCTCTGTAGGCTGGAAGTGGGCTTCAGACGTAGGAAAGTCCGAGCATTTGAAAAGCTTGAGTGTAGTTTGGCTGGGTAGATGAAAGGACATTGAGTGCGTGGAGGATACGCGGAGAGTGCTACAATTCTATGACAACCGCTATGTTGCGGCATGTTGCCAAAAAGTAAACAAACGGCTTATCTGTGTCGTTATGGACGTGTGTCGACCACTGGTACGGCTCAAGCACGACCCTGGGTTTTGACAGAGTCAGAAACGATGCCAGTCCAGAAACCGCGGATGTCTGTAAAACATACATGGATCACCGGTCTGGGTGTGTTTGAGGGTAAATAGCAACCGCGCCCTTACTTGCTATCCTGGGAATCGTCGAAGCTGAATCCCCGCGCAAATTTCTGACCGCAAATCAATTCTGAGAGTTCCAGTGTAATACAGAGTCACAGTACGTTTTCGGCTGTTGCCCGATAGGCTTGATCTTACAGGTTATCGCGATTAGGGTTTGCCTCTTAGATCAAGCTTATTAATCAAGGGATCATACTCCAATAATTCACTGTGCGACACATAACTTTAATTCACGCGTACAAAGATATCAGGCGGCTGTAAAATCGAGTCACTGTCTCACAGATGAATTGCTGACTCAACCCCTCGCTAAATTACCGGACTATTGGTGTCACCCCTAGTTTGTAACTTACCACGTGCGATCTCATCATACAGCGCGCTAAAAACCCTGCGTTGTCTTCGGGCCATCAACGCTTACAGTACATCGCGATTAGCGGGAGAACGTTCAACCTTTCGTACCGACCCATTACAGCTCAGAAGAGGAGCGGGGGAGGCTCACCAAATCCATAATTTATTCCATTGTGAAATTGTACGTGTTCCAACTTTGAAGGCCGTAAACGAATTTTTTAAAATTCAAGGTCATGGCTCCAATGACCTAAGTGGTTGGGCTCCAGTGTATTTGTAAGCAATTTTCAGAAAATGACCAGATAGAAGTTTAAAGCGGGTTAGAAGCCTACGAGAACATATTCAATAGAGTTGCCTATGACTCATGCAGGAGATTCGGTTCATGCCCGACCACGGACCGACCGCGACCTGCATAGAATCTCGGAGAAGGAAGTCGAGCCACGCCAGCGCTCTCAATCACATGGGTCATCAATTGAGAGGGAATTTTGTAAGAATATTCTACAAGCCCTTGTCTACGTTCATGCAGGTTTAGGAAAGAAATATGGGAAAACTTCCGAAGATTTCACGAGAGACTGAATGCCCGCCGAGGTGGAAGGAGTGGGGGTTTACGTCAATGCACGGAGGGGAAGGCATCCCTGCAAATTCCAACCCCCGTGCATCTTGGTCAGCCTTAGAACTTAAAACACATAACAGAGTGACAAAGGCCGAACCTTCCGCCGGCTTCTACTGGTGTTGGCTTTGGGGAAAGATGTTTATCTGCAGTAATACTAAAGAAGTGCACATTTCCACTGCCAATCTTATTTGCAGCGTTCTTTTCAGTTTCAGGCCCATGCAGATGCTCATGCAAGTCGACAAGGTGACATAGATTGACTCGGCGTAATTGGTAGACACAGTGGCAAAAGGCTGAGTTTTCAGATTAGCAGAATCTCTGTAGAATTAAGATTTTTGGTCTTGGTGGGGACGCTGAAAGCGAACGATACGTAATCTGATGAAACAGCCGAGGTAGTTGCGAGAACTTTTGTAGAAGTTTCCGTCAGGTCTTGTATCCTCCACGCTTTAAACGAATCCCCCACTGGATCTAGGAATGCACAAAGGAAGGAGTCACTAAGGCGAAAAACTTTATACTTGGCTATGTTTAGAAGTGTTTTGCACACCTATCGGCACGGCTCAACGGTAATGTGTTTTACCTGCATCGATTTGTAAGCTGCGCATATGGCTCAAGACGGTGCAGAATGAACATTCTCTATAGAAGCAGCAATCAGCCGGTTCTTCCCACAGCTGCTTTCGGCTACTCACGGCTAGAGGTGCAATTTACATCGACCAATAGCGTAATTTCCCAGGGTTTGATTTCTCGGTCAGATATTGTCTAGCCCACAGTATGCATATACATAAGGGGGCCAAGGCTGAAAGAGGAAAACCTTAGCATGCATCGCCATATGCGATGCACCCCCACTTTTGTAGAGTCTTGTGCCACACCTTCTAACAAAACCGATTAGTCATTTTGCTGGAACTTTCTATTAAATATCGCTTAAATTTTGTGTTCAGTTTAGATATATATAGATTATAATTTCTCAGATTCCAAACCCTCCAGTTCAATCTGCAGCTCAAAATATTTCACGAGTCCGAGTACCTTGCCCAACCACATTTACACAACCACACTTACACTTGATATTTATACTTGGCATTTACACAACTACACTTGCACTTGAGATTTATACTTGAGATTTATACTTGAGATTTATACTTGAGATTTATACTTGAAATTTATACTTGGCATTCATACTTGACATTTATACTTGACATTCATACTTGGCATTTATACTTGACATTTATACTTATCACTTTAACCCATACCAAACATACTCCAAAGAGTAAACTCACTAATACCTAATACTTTACATAATTCGAAATGGCTTCTCACACATTACTGCCTCCTCTATACCGGCAGAACACGGCTTCCAACCCTTCAGATGTTGGGCACATCCTGAAATCTGAGCCAAATACCATTCCCTCATCTCCCCCAATCTACATAGACAAAGATTCCCTCACGGAAGGGTGTATGGAAAATTTACACACTCTCAAACGGGAACCGTGGAAAAAACTCGTCACTGAGATCACATTGACAAGCGCCCATAACGAAGGCAGGGTGTACACGACCGGTGACACAATAGCAGGCTACGTCACAGTCCAGAATAAAAGCTCTATCGAGGTTCCTTTCCGATTATTTTCCGTTTCATTAGTGGGCTGGATACACTTAACGAGCCAAAAACAGGCGAAGCGATTTGTACACTTGGTCGATTTCAGTGCGTCTTCCTCAGCGGACATTGACACCAACTACACCAGGCCACCGGCTGAACGTGAAGGCGACCACTTTCTTGAGTTTCCGCCAAACAGGTTTCTCCAACCACACTCGAAATACAAGCGCTACTTCCTGTTCACCTTCCCAGAGGACGACGATTTGCTTGTGGAAGAGATGTGCTGCCACGCCAACCAGCGTCATGCAACGCTTCCACCAACCACCGAGATTTTGACTCTTTCCCTGAATACGCACTCGCTCATTTCATACTCCGTGCAGACTCATATAATTATCAACACCATTAGCGAGGGCTTCCTCGTACGCGCGTTTGCAGAACGGAACCTTTTGTTCTCTCCTAGACAAAGTAGGGTACTGCGCTGCGACTCTGGAGGCGGATTGAAGGAGTTTGTCGCGGGGTGTAAGAAGGTTATGGACGATCAGTTTGAGAAACAGAAGCGGATGTGGAAGCAGCAGCAACGGGAACTTATGGAGCGCAGAGGGACCATCACCCCCTATGAATCAGCAGTCCAATCCTCGTCTTCGTCCATCTGCGAGGAAACCACTTCCATGCCTAAGGCTGAGTATGTCCGCAGTAAGAAGCCAACTGGTAGCTCCTGGAACCCACTTACATCGCTTATTCCACCAAAATACAGGGCCGAAGAATGGGAAAACGGGTACAAACCCGGGACCTACGAGTCAAAGTCGCGCTTCTTTGTAAACAGACCAGGCTTGCTCTCATCAAAGTTGTCGGGCGAATTGAAGATCAAGATAGTGAGCGCCGTTGAGCCTTTGCAGCTTTCCGCATCACAGTTTTCCCACAAAACCGTATCTTCCCCAGTTCCGTTGAAGCTTAGACTTGAATACCACTCCTCCGAGTTGGACAATGTTGATGTCTCTTCTCCTCCGTCTATTGTTTCCGTTTCAGGCTTGCTCATTTCAGTGATTGTTGAATCCAAGAGCAGTGTGCACGACATCCCGATTATAAACCTTTCAGGAGACGAATTCTTCAATAATAACGGAAAATCTTACATTGCTATAAAGCGTGAATTGAAGGACACGGTCCTTCCAATGTTGTTAAGTGACAAGGAAACGCAGCAGAAGTCTACAGGGGGAGGCCACGTTCCAAGAGAAGTTTCCGAGAAATTGATCAACGATATAGACTCTGTGTTGAATGTTTCGCTTATTAACAGAGAATGTTACCCAGGATTTGTCCATATTGATCAGAGGTTGGTGGACTGCAAGAATAGCACGTGGGAATCACAGTTGAAGAACAGAAAGAATAGCACCAGTGAGGTGTTTTTGAGCAAGGAAATCGAAGTTTCCCTCAATTTTGACGTTAAGGGTGGATTCGCCGACATGAACAGCCTTAAGTCAAAGAATTCAACGAGCAAAGGTTCAAAGGCCAGATTGACTCCGAGTTTCCAAACCTGTTTGGTGAGTAAGATCTATGTTGTAAGGTTGGACGTCAAGTTCTCCAACAAGGTCTGCGGGACCATCCACCTCCCGGTCGAAGTTGTGTAACACCAGATGATATATATATAAATTATGAAACGAATAATGAGATAAAATACCGTACCCCTATGTAGGCATACCAATTCTGGACGATCGACTAGTCTATATAGTATGCATCGAACTCTATCTTTAGTTTAGGTACCCAGTATGGGCTTTTTTTGACCAAATTTACCTCCATCACGACAGTGGGAAATGTTGAAGCTTGACGTTAATAGATCAAACGTATGCTATTCTTGGTGTAGTATCACGTTCGAAACCAAACTTCTATACAGATACTTTTCAGGATATTAATAAAGGCCAATCAACGCACATAGATTTTCCACTAGCTGTCTCTCCGGTATGGGCCTGGGATTAATTATGAGTTATAAATACATCTAACTTCAATCACAACTTGTATGCCTATTAATTTTCCTCCTTCTGCTCCTTTTCTTTCTTGCCCTGTTCCCTTACTGCGTTCAAGAAACATTCAATCCCCTCGCCTTTGTAGTTGGTCCCCAAAGCCTGGCTGACCACCATGCCTGCTCCGTTGGCCAAGGCTTCGTCCAACTTGCTAGCAGACGTCAAGAAAAACCCCGACTTTAACACATTCAACAAGCTTTGCTTGTTTCTCTCGTGTGATTCTGGTAAATGATTAAAGAGTGGCTCTAATTCCTCCAGGGAAAGCGAATTCACATACTTTTCAATCAACAGGGGAGAGATGGCGTCGGTGATCGAGTTCAAAGGAGCAAACATCCTACTTTGTTAGTATTGACCTTCAAGTACAGTTACAGCAGTTCATAAATAGTCATTGATTGGTTTATAAAGCTTCGGGAACAGAGTACTTACTGGGCGGGAGCCGGGGTGTCTGGTTCTTTAGCAGGGACTTCCTTTTCTTCCTCTTCCAAAAAGAGCTTGGTGATCTTGGCCGAGATCTCCAAGTCCTTCTTGGAGAGTTGCGACGGCTCGTCATTTTCATCGTCATTGAGATCTTGCATCCAGTATAAGTTCTTGGCGCCAGACGACAAAAACGTCAAGCTGAACACTCTTCCGGTCTTGCACGACGCGATGTGTTTCCATTGCACATCGCCCGCAATGACCAAGAGCTCGTCGCTGACCACACCCGGGGTGGATTCGCGCGGCGCCCATGTGAAATCGTAGAAGAAGTCGCCCTCTTCGGACGCCTTGATTGTGATTTTCCCCTTCAACGGCTCGGGGGTGCACTTCTTGGTCGCTTCGCTGTACGAGACTCTACCGGCGTTGAAACTGACAAGAGCGGACATGATTAATTGAGGGGATGTGTATACGGAGTGGTGAGTAGATCAATTGAGGTGAAGTGTTGATCAAGCTCTGTTGGTTGCCACTGGCCAAGTCGTAGAGGAGATGGTTCGCGCACGTCAAGGGAAAAGGCTGAGATTAGCGAGAGTGAATTATATTAACGCCTTGGCCATATTATTATTATTATTATTTTTTGAATTAAAATGGAATATCAGAAAATTTTCATAAAGGATGGTATATTTGTCGCTTCAACTTGATATCTGGTCTCCAGTGTGAATCAAATGGCGTATATAATAAAACTATCGAGAACCTCTCGTTATCTCTTAACCATGGTTTTTACCACAAACGTACCAAGCTTCACCTACCCTCTTTGAACCCGTCTCATATTAAAATTTATTACATATATATCATATTATCTGCTCAAATAGCATCTCCGGTACATCATTCATCCTCTTTTTGAAGCACCTCCAATAAAAACTCCAAGCCGATTTTCGCAAACTCCTGCATGTTCTGGGCTCGGTCCTCAGTCTGTGTAACCACCTTCTTGGAAACCTCCCCATTAGGGCCTGAAATCGCCACGTAAACCGTGCCCACTTCTGTGTTGTCAAACTGAATGCTATCAGTGACACCGCCAATATTTGTGGAAGGTCCGGCAAACCCTGACTCGGATAACACATAGGTGGAGCCCAACTCGATGCGGAGGTTTCTCGCAAGCCTCAACACTACCAGTTCGGACGGGCCAGTATAGTTGACAATATCCTGCTCCGACCACCCACTCAACTTCAACCTCGACTTTAATGAGTAGACCAACGTGCTACCGTCAAAAAACCTGGACGCGCCAGGAATCGACACCAAATACGATGATAATAATCCCCCGCAGGCCGCTTCAGAAACGGCTATCGTTTGATCCCGGGCTATAAGGAGGTGCAGGATCTTATCCACAAGTTGCAGGATCTCAGGAGGCGGGAAGTGCATGCTAATGGGCTGCGAAGTGTGGCTGATAGTGGAAGGGAAGAGTATACCCTTTATAAACCTAACCTTCTCCACTTATAAGATACCTTATCGGTAAGCGCACGTCCGGAGAACCGTTGACCGGTAGACGCACTACAAATGGCTTACAGATATCAACGATTCGATTAGGACAGAGTGGTTCCAACGGGCACTGTTAGCAGCTGAACTGAGTATAGTTTCACATAAATCATCTTAGATTCATCTATGGTACATTTGGATCAGCTGCACCTAGTCAGCCTTGCTGTCTAAGGTGGATAACTGCAACTTGAAGTAGTCAATGACAGGGACGACTTCCAAGTATCCGGTTTCGTTAAAGAACTTGTTGAAGTGGACGTCTTGCTTGACACTCTTGTCATTCAAGTTAACCTCGATGGTCAAGACTGGTTCGTACTTGTCCTTGACCTCGGTCGAGATAGTCACCTTGTCTTTGGCCTCTTTCTTGTCGTAGCCCACATACTTGATGGACTTTTCGACCGTAGACGTGAAGTAGTAGAAATATGCCATACCAACACTGTATAGCGCCAAAAGCAACACCACATAGTTGTACGAAGCCTTGAACCCTAACTTCTTGTCAAGCAAGAACACCGCGGCAGCCATGATACCCGTTACATAACCAACGGCTAACTTCCGGTCCACAATGCTGAAGTCCTGTTCGTAGCCAATGTGGCCCATCACCTCGGGCAATCTGTCGTCGACCACGTTTCTCAACTCATTCGTAGAGCTGTGGGTTAGTATCAATAATGATCGGCCAGCCGCAGAAAGATTGGAATACACACCTCAAATTAACCTTAGTAGCAACCATTGTGTAAGGACTGTAGCAATGTGGTTTAGTGGTGATTAAAATAGCGTTGTGATGTGTAGGTGTTTGATAAAAGGTTCGAGCGGCGGAGGATACGTGTAAGGTCGATTAGAATGCACGTGACTTTGGGTCAGTCAAGTAACTTGACTTTGTGGAATAACCCGATCCGCTTGTCTATTAAAATTAAAAAAGGGGCCTTATGGGCGAGAGTTTTGTAATTTAATATTTTTGTTCGTAGCTTAATATTTCTGATTATGGTTTAATATTTTTATTGGCGTAATGGTATGAACCAATTGTAGACATAACCAGGGGACCTGTAGTAAGCGTATAGCTGTCACATGGTAGGAAACAATACTCTATATAGGGAGGTCGATCCTTCCCTCCTTTATCCTATATACGTTATATAGGCAACCAGTATTACTATTACTATAAGTAGATATTCTACCTTTGGGGTAGAGATATACCACACTTTAGATGTTCTTTGTGTGTTGGAAACAACAAAAGCACGTGTGGGGGTTGGAATTACGCAGTGTTGGGTGAGGATGGATAGGTTTGGGAACGTACCTTCGTATTCCTTTTATTCAGACACTTGGAAAAGACCCAAAAAGGTTCTGTTATAGCTAAATCCTCGGATATGGTCAACTCGCCGGGAAACCTAGCAGCCGATGAATGCGACGCAAGAGGCTACTAAGCACCAGCACACCTGGCAGGTAAGCTGTAGGTCCAGCCGTAGCCCAATATTTCGTAATCATATCTGGTCAGGTTGAGCTTGATTCTGGGGGTCCGGGTAGCATGATCTTGTCTATATATACTTATTTAATTCATAACTCACGGGTTCTCTTTGTACCGGATTGTTTTCACAGGTCCTGTAGACCCCACATAGCTCACCCGCGTTCGTGGACTCGTCTAAATTTACCATTCAGAACGGTGTAAAATCTCTGACACCGCCTCCATTCCGGTAGTTCATACACTACATGCGTCTGCTTGCCATGCTTCAACCAAAACATGGCGAAATTCCCTCTCGCGTGAGCACTGTTCGACGAGTACTAGGCCATCATATATCTACCCAACCTGTTCTACTCCAAGCCAGGCTATTACCAAAGCATTCTATGGCAGCCCCTGAGCGTGGCTGAAGGCTCTCCGGTATGTCAGTCGTAAAAGTAATGCATGCAGTCTGTACGAGTTTTACAGTTTCTTCATGTATTTCTCTCTGCATAGATCTCCCCGATAACTACGAACCGGATATGCGGACGAAATTACCTCCGGAAAGCGGATTCAAGCCACCTTATCAAAGACTTATTTATCAGCGCTTCGCTTAAGGATACTTGCAGATCTTCAACTTTCACTCAAAAACACCCACCATGAAGATGAAACAACACCACTCTCCAGACCCCTTGGCCGGGTGGTCTGGAACGAGTGTGCATATCATGTTCTTTTTAACCTTGCTTGTCATCCTTGGAGCCCGTAAGTTGTATTTGAACGCCTTTTGGGATACACACTAACCCACCAGTCACTTTGGTTGTCACCTGTATCTACTTCGTGTGTGTGCGTCCTACCAGGTCCGCTGAGGGCCGCGGGTACATCTCCCGCTTCTTGCGCTGGCTCGGCTTGGACAAGCAGAATACCATCGACTACAGATTGGACCAGCAGTTGATCACAGAGGTTTTCCGCGAGTTACCGTTCTTGATCACCCCAGTTTCGTTGCGCACCCAGTACGAGAAACAGAAACTCGTGTGGAAATATATCCACGTGAAGTTGTTGAACAACAAGGCGGTCAACGGAGGGGGACAGCACATCAACCTGGGTAACTTTGATGTTGAAATCATGAAAGAGCGCTTTCAAAAGTGCTTACCAGGCATCTTGGCTGATTCGAAAAACGAGTACATCTTGCAAAAGCACCCATACGTATTTGCCTACGATGATTACTTGAGCATCATTGAGGAAACGTTGGCTGAAAAATTTGAGTTCAAGGATAACAGAGAGAACCAGGTGCGGGAGGGGTCTTCCAGGTCCACTGCCAATACTTTTTCCGCCGCCTATGTTGCCTCCAGAGACACAGACCGCGACTCCACTGTGAGCTTTGAATTCGACGCAGAGGATGCGAAGCTCGAGGATCCAATCGAGTATGAGTTGAGCAACGGCACAGATACTGTAAAGCCGGAGACCCGTGCGAAGTTGTTGCACTTGAAGACAAATATGCAGATCTTGGAGTTGATCTCCCGGACCATCAAGTTCCAGGACAACACCCCAGCAATCAAGTGGTCCAACAAGGCTGTTTCCACATTCTTGCGCAACATGGTCATGGAAAGTATGAAGACGAACGAGTATGAGCTCAGTGAGTTGGCCCACAGGTTGCGTGAGGCCTTGAACGGTAGCGATGACGAACTTTCCGGCAATGGTCGTGAGTACGAGATGAGAACCTTGGTATAGGTTGGTGTTATTTATTTCCTGGACATCGGGCTACAATATGAATCTGAAGGGAAAATGAGAATAAGAGGCTTCGGATACGTTAATGAGTGAAATACTCCTGAGCTAGGTAACGGGCGAAAATAGCTAGTTCGAGGGTAGCATGTGAAACCAAGTCCACCAGTCGACAATTTCTGTTAGCACCTTTCCATGCTGATCTGGCAAAATAGCCAGTAATCATGTATATTTATTATATTTCTACAACTAAGAGTGGTTCATCAAATACTAGCCTCTAATTTTTTTATACCCAGCAATTATGAGATATTTTTACCGTCCGGCTCTCTCTTATCTCTATTATTCGAATATCGATCAATATAGCTCTCTGTCTGAACCGTGGAGCTAATCTGTGTACAATTGCCTTCGCCCTTCTAGTCTATAAGTCGAATCTCGGACGTTGTCGTATACAATGGCTAAGTGGAAATTTCTCTAAAACAGTTGTTCAAACTTTGAGATTACCCCACAATGATTTACATAGTGTTGGAACTCATCCCAGAGTCCGAACGACTGTTGACTCTGTCCCAATTTCCATGCCGGACACCTCGCCCTCTATCAGTGAAATTTCCACGCAGGGAAAAAAAAAATATTCATCTCTCCACAAATGCTCAGAGCTCTCATACAACTCCCCCGCTTCTCCACCATAATCACTCCCTTCAGAAAAATGTCTACCGAAATTGAACTTGGCGTCACCGCTGACTTGCACGTGCACTTAAGAGATGGCCCAATGATGGAGTTGGTCACGCCAACCGTCAGAGATGGTGGATGCTCTATCGTTTACATCATGCCAAACTTGTCCCCACCCATCACCACGTTGGACCGAGTTGTGAAGTACAAGCAGGATTTGCAGAAGCTTGCGCCTAAGACCACCTTTTTGATGAGCTTCTACCTCTCTAAAGACTTGACCCCGGAGTTGATCCGCGAGGCCGCCAAGGTCCAGGCTATCCAGGGTGTCAAGTGCTACCCGGCCGGTGTGACCACCAACTCCGCGGCCGGTGTAGATCCAAACGACTTCTCAGCCTTCTACCCAGTGTTCAAGGCCATGGAAGAGTGCAACCTTATCCTCAATCTCCACGGTGAGAAGCCATCCACCCACGACTGCGCTGAGGGCGACGAGATCCACGTGTTGAACGCGGAGTCCAAGTTCCTCCCCGCCTTGGAAAAGTTGCACGCCGACTTTCCCAACTTGAAGATTGTCTTGGAACACTGCACCACCAAAGATGCCATCGACGCCGTTGAAAAAATCAACGCTGGCATCACTAGTGCGGCTGATATTAGAGTCGCCGCCTCTATCACCGCCCACCACTTGTTCCTAACCATTGATGACTGGGCTGGGCATCCAATCAACTTCTGCAAGCCTGTTGCCAAGCTCCCCCTCGACAAAAAGGCTTTGGTCAGGGCCGCCGTTTCCGGCAAACCGTACTTTTTCTTCGGCAGTGACTCCGCCCCTCACCCGTTATCTGCAAAAGCGAGACATGTGGGCGTGTGTGCTGGTGTTTACACCCAGTCCCATGCGTTGTCGTACGTTGCGGAGGTGTTTGAGCAAGAAAACAAGCTCGACCAGTTGAAACCGTTTGTGAGCGACTTTGGTAGAGCCTTCTACGGGTTGGATGATGCGAATAAGTTGATTGTGAACCACGATAAGTGTTTCTTGGTCAGAAAGAACATAAAGGTTCCGGAGACGATTGGCGAGGGTGAATTGGTTGTCGCGCCTTTCAGAGCGGGTGAGACGTTGAAGTGGAGTACTGAGTGGAGATCCTAGTTTCATAAGAGATTCTTATAATTGAAATTTGAAATTTCTCCACGTCGGTTCCAATCTATGAGGTTTCTGATACCTTAAATTCCTCGGCGTCTCACTTCCTCTGGTCAATAAGCTCTTGACTCTTTTCTCTCCAGTAATATAGCTGGTGTGATGTTTATTTATATATGTACATAATCCAATCTCATTGGTAGACAAAATCCTTTGGTCAACCCTGGACATCATTCTAAAACTGATAAATTTTCAGGAGACGTGTCGGGTACGTTTTAGTAATTGGAAGTAGGTACGAGCTCGGTATGACTATACGTTGGGCTTTTTTCCATATCAAGTATGCAAAACGAGCCTATCTCGATATTTTACCATTCTACAAACATTTAAACAAAAATACATATTAAACACAAAAACTAATATACAATCACTTCACCCTTATCGCTTTGGCGAGGCAATGACACTGGAGTGTCTACCGAGGTTTTGCAGAGAACCAGACGGAAAGGTGCGACTGCTGACAGTACGGCGCTTGGTAGAACCAACGTGGGGCTGGACCTGGCGGCCTTCCTGGAAGAAGTCCATCTGCTCGTCGTTATTGCCGTACTCGTGTAAACTGCCAAACTCGCCATCCCAGGAAAGACCATCGGTGCTTCTCTGGATCAAATACTTCAACGAGTTGTACCATATATTGTGGCGGTGTCGGTTCGGACAGGTTAACTTGATGGCCTTCTTCTGGGTCCCAATGATGATCGACTTGTGGAACAAGCCTGGCGGCAACGGATTGTTGTCGTCCACACTCACCACGCTGATGATTGCGGCACCCTTGATCTTGGTCTCAGCTGGGTTACCCAAGACCGGGTTGGTGGTGGACCAATACAACGTCAAACTGTACGGGTGAATCCAGAAGAAACGCTCGTGGCGTGAGTCGGAGATCGCACTGAGCGAACCAATACGACGGTAGTACTTGTATAAGTACTCACCGATAATCACCTGTGTGAGCGCTGGAATCATATTCATCTCGTTAAGCGACACACTGGTGGCCATTGAGAATGGCATGGATGGCGACATCCCGAGCTGACGGCCCTCCGGAAGCGCAAAATTATTGCTCTTCGAGGAACTGTGCGATGGGGAGCCACGGCTGCGACCCACGGGGGCTGGCGGCGTGAACTTGGCTAGCGATTGGAAGCCCTCGCCGTCTTGGCTCTCAAATGCACCGGTATCCCTCATTTCAGGCGTATGCATGGCAGTCGTCTTCTCCTCGCCAGCCTTCACGAACCCTCTCTTTTCGGCGTATTTTACAAATTCAGCCTCCGAGATCTTCTCAATGGAGAGTGACTCGTGCTTTACAAGCTTGTTGTAGTAGGTGTTTGGTAACACCACCACATTCTCCGGGTCCGGCACCCGCGAGACTGTCGTTGCCACGAACGATTTCTCTGGGATGCAAAGCAAACCAAACGTCTTGGCAGCGTCACTGATGTACGACCGGCGCTGGAGATTGATGGCAGTCTTTTCGTACTGAGCGATTGTCGTGTGTGGCACCACTGCCAAACCAAGCTCAGCAGCCCTGGCGGCCAACACGTCTGGGGTGATGTCTTGGGACTTTGGCGGCCGCTCCGAAGAGTCAATTGCCATAGGGCCAAGCGGCGAAGCAGGCTGATTCACAGTCTCTCTGTCCATGGCCTTCTCTCTTACCATAGCTTCTTCTGCGTTCTTCTGTGCAAGACTGCTTCTCATCTCCTCCAACTCAGCTGTCGGAATGACTGCCAAACCGTGGCCTGGAGAACTCTGGATAATAAAGCCTCTATCCTTGGAGGCATCACTGCGGATCGTTCTCGTCAATTCCTCCATCTCTTCGCCTGAGAGCACTGTAAGGCCAAACCCTGAAGCCATTCTCGAAACACCTTCGTGGGTGTTGGCCTCTTGAAGGGTAGAGAGCTGGGAAGCAGTAATGACCGACAACCCAAGCTCCGCAGCCCTATTTTCAACCGCCGATTGATCTGATTCGGCGAAACTACTTAAGCGAATTGCCTCATCAGCAGGCAAGACAGACAAGCCGTACTCAGCGGCACGGGAGCGCAAGCCTTCGACACCCACCACCGTCTGGCTCTGGAGAGTCTGGAGCTCAATCTCAGGAACCAGCACCATACCAGGCTGTTCTGGCTTCAACTCGCCGGAGGCGAGCCTCTGCTTGAGCACAGCCAAGTAGGTCTCATCCTCCTTGGATATGAGCGAGAGACCGAGAGTGTCAGCGTGGGTCGCCAACAGTTCTCTGGACTCTAATACTGCATGAGGAGATTCCAAAGCAGTCGTTGTATCCACTGGAATAACGACCAAGTTCAGTTCACTGACCTCAGTAGACGTCTGAGCGTCAATTTTGCCTTCACCATTATCTTCAACCTCCCTCACATCCGCTTCATCCTCAACCTCCTTCACATCCTCTTCACCCTCAACTTCCTTTTGACCTTCTTCACTCTCAGCCTTGGTTTCCGACTTGGCAATCAACGCAAAACCCAAGCTGGCAGCCCGCTCACGAAGTAAGTCAACATCCATAGCAGCCTTTTCAACTGTAACATCGTTCAATGGAACAACACCTAAACCGTGGAGACCCAAAGCCTCCGTCATCCTCGCAATATCAGTAGAAGCCGAGTCGGTAACCCCACCGAGAGTATCTCTAGAACCGGTCTTCACCAGGCTGGAAGTTTCATCGGTCACAGTTATCTCGGCTTCATCGGCAGACTTGTCTTCAATTACCTCCTCTGTGGCTTCGGGCTCTTCAACAGAGAGACCTCTGACATGAACTTCGGTCAAACTACCCACCAGATCTCTGTTCGCTGCAATCTCCGGGGATAAGAACTCGTCAGCATCCTCAAACTCTTCATCATCTGTAAACGTCACCTGAGAGCCGTTGCCACTAATTCTGGAAATCCCGAGGACCCCGGAGCCCGCACTGAATGGTACGAGTGATAACCCAAGAGATAACGCGTGGGAGCGCAACTCGTCGGCAGTTAAGCCGGTAGCGTCACGCTTCGCCAAAAGCTTCTTGTATTCATCCACCGGCAAGACCGTCAAGTTAAAGGTCTTGGCACCGTTGTAGATGTCGCTGATCGTCGGCTCGTACTTGTTAGACTCGAGCAAGCGCTTATACTCGGCAGCCGGAACAGGAACGTATCCGAGCGATCTCGCAGAGTCCATCACTTTCTCCTTCTGCGCCGGCTGGGCGTCGAGGCGCGCAAGCTCCTCGTAGTGCAACTTGCTATTCATCACCTTTCCTTGCGGTTTCTCCACCACCAACGACTTCTGCTTGAGCACTGCGTATTCTTCCTGGGCCAACACAACCAAGCCATTCTTAACAGCGTGGGTTTCCAAGTCAGACCGGGAGAGGTTCACAGCCTTGGTGAGTGCGGTGTACTCGGTTTTCGGAATGGTAACCAACCCGAAGGCGAGCGCACGAGCCGTCACCGTCTTTTGGTCTGGCTCCGCGGCTCTGAGCACGAGAAGCTCGTTCTCCACACGGCTGAGCACCACCATGCCCGACTTTTGCGCCATCAGCTTGATCTCGGCCTCGGAAGGCAGCGTGGACAACCTCTGGAGTTCCTGAATTTGTCTAGCAGGCAAGGCCTGTAACGAGTACAGCGCGCAATGGTCGTGCACAAGCTCGATCGGAGGAGACTTTGCGAGAGTCAAGAGCTGTTCGTACTCCGCAACAGGAAGGAGTCGCATGCCAAACTTGGAGGCGTTTGCGGTCAAATCTTCCACCAGAGGCTCCTGAGACCGCTTCGAAAGCTCCTCCATGTTCGCAAACTCTTCCTCACTCACCACAACAAGCCCAAGCTTCTGACCGAAGGAAGAAACATCCTCCGCGGTAGGCTCCAGTACAAGTTGCTTCATCTTTTCAAATTTTTCCTGCTTCACCATCACCAACGATTTATCCTGTGCCATCCGCTTGAGCGCTTCGAGCGACTTCTCACCACTAAGCGGAACCAATGCCAGATTCAACTTGGCAGCAAGCGGCTCAAGGTCCGAGGACAGGGGGGATTGAGAGATCAATACGTAGCCTAAGGACATGGCTGCTGCCGAAATGTCGTCCACTGTCATGTTCGCGGTCGTCTCCTTGGCCCTAACCAACTCCGAGTGTTTATCGTCGGTCAAAACCACTAAACCTAGCGCAGCGGCCATGGAAGAGATGTGCGCAAGAGACGGAGATTCAGCCTTGGAGACCAAACCGGAATGAGCCTCATCGGACAACAAGACATATCCACTTTCTTTGGCCTTTTCAGTGATGTGCTCGATCGACGGAGAAGCAGCCTTAGAGACCAAGTCAGAGTGGGTTTCCTTTGATAATGCAACCAAGCCAACAGAATCTGCCTTCAGCATGAGGTGATCCGCAGAGGGAGATTCAGCCTGGTCCATCAACGCAGCGTGTGCATCCTTCTGCAAGACAACCATACCAAGATCATCAGCCTTAGAGCTAAGATGCTCAGCCGTAGGAGCCTCTGCCTTGGAAGACAATGTTTTATAGTCATCCTGGGTCATTACAACCATGCCAAGAGTGGCCGCCTTCTCAGATATGTGCTCGACAGAAGGAGTGGAGACTGTAGCAAGCAACTCTTCGTGTTCAGCCTTTGGTATAATGACTGAGCCCAAAGTTTCTGCCTTCTCGGTGAGGTGGTCTACCGATGGCGAATCGGCCTGTGCTACCAACGCTTCGTGGTCCTGCTTTGGCAAGACAACCAACCCAAGTGCGGCAGCCTTGGCCGTGA